GATTCGAGAGATCTTCAGATCTTGAATATTGGTACACACGTGCGAGCGCCTGTATCACCGCATGCGGCGTTGGCACGGACGTCATTTCATGCTCTGACCATCTCCTGACCATCGAGTCTGCTCGACCACAAACCGCACGAAGACGGCGTGGCAGGGAAGCGCGTTCGTTGCACGAAGCACGGAGCATGGACTGTATGCGCTCGTAAGTTGCGATCTCTCGCGACCCGCTGCCCATCGAAAACGGGCGCTGACACTGACAACCAGTTGGCACTCGAACGATGGCACACATGCTCCACCCCCGGTGACAGACAACGTGCGGCACTGGTATCAGGGCTTATCGCTCGGTGGCCTCGATCGCTCAGAACCCGGACCTTGAAGGTCCAACCAATGTGGCGTCCTGGTGCAGGTCGCGGTGAACGGGTGCTGCAGACAGATGCACGAACCTTGACCGCGGCAGGAAGCACCATCTCAATGTCATACGCTGCACATGCGGTCAACTGACATACGCCAGGCAGTGATACCAACCCGGCAAGTACCTGCCGTTCACCCTCGCCATCTCCCACCCGGTTCTCATCCACTGCCAGCCAGCAGCCCGCGCGACATTCACGAAGCCCGGCGGGGCCCCGCGCACTGTGGGTGACGGGTACACAAGCTTACACTCCCCGACCCGCGCCGCGCCGCGTGATTGCGCCGTCGCGGGGACCGCGCCACGGGCCTGGAGGCGTGTGAGAACGCCGGTCGCCCGTTGCGCCCGCGGGGACCTCACAGGGTGCGGCGGCGGCGGCGGCGGCGGCGGCGGGATGGGAAGACCCGCGCACACTCCGTCCGGCGGCAACCACGGGACCCAGGTCCCAGGGCGGAGATGGGGCAGCAGGTGCGTGTCGTGCGAGCTCGCTGCGCGCCACCGCTCCCGCGCGGACAGGCTCCGCGCACGGTTAGGATAGCTTAACCTAACCGCGGGCATTAGCCGCAGGACTACGCCCGAGATGACGCGCCGGCGATCGTGCGTGGGGGGCGGGCGGCGGAAGGGAGGTGCGGGGTGCGGGGTGCGGGGTAGGCCGCTTCGCAATTCAGTCTTCAGGCCTCTGCGTTCGAGCTCACAGTGCTAATGCCCGGGGCCTGTGGCGGTCGATGTGCCGTTCATCGTTCATCTCGCGTCTGCGCTTTTAGATGACTGAATGGACACTGCAGGGCTCGTCCACTGCGGCGCATCGGCATGGGCACCGCGCGCGTCCGCAGCCACCGGAGCGCGACGGCGACCTCGGCGCGGTGATTCGGTGCACAAGCAGCGATGTGCCAGCGCACGAAAGCCTGGCGGGCGCGAGCTGCAGCACGTATCCAAACGGCGACAGCATGGTTCAAGGAGGGAGCTATGTCCGTTGCGCGGCCTGACCAGGACCGCCCACCCGTCTGCAAAGCTCGGCTGAAGACGCCCCTGTCGGCTCTCAGCAGGATGCGCAGCCCTCAGGGTGCGGGCGAGAGTTTTCCAGGGGTGAACGTATTCACTCTTGTTCTGGTTAGCAGTCTACTGAAGCCGGACCTTGTAGATTCGCGGGTGCGCGATAGATGCCGGAGGATCGTGCGTCCTCGTGGGAGCGCCATGCAAGTAGCCGATGGTCTTAGTGTCTTGTCGGCGTACAGACCGGCAATGTGCGCGGCTTGTGCGCGGTGTGCATCTTGTGCTCTCGCACTAGCACCAGGTGAGCAACTTGTTCCTGTGCTTACAAGATCGGTTTCTCAGACAACTCCGGGCCCACTTCCAGTCCAGGCTTGGCAAGTAGCTTCCGCGCTCGAAGGCCGCAAACCGCCTGACACATCCACGCCGCGAGCTTCAATTCGATCATGTACGTTGTCATGAACCGCGCCTGTACGAACTCGCTGGCGTCTCCATACGGGTGTGAGCTAAATTCGCAGAGTCGGTAAGTATCGGCAGTCTGGCCACTACTTCGGGGCAGTTGCGGCGTCCGCTTACCGACGAACTAGAAGGCTACCCGTCTGACAGGGACCAATCACGAAGTCCCGGTATTCTCATTGGGCCGTTGAGATGCCGGGGGGCCGACTTGCCTGGAGAGGTCCGTAAGATGCTCTTCTCCGCTTCTTCGTACTAGTACTTATGCAAACTTCGACTTACCACCAGCCCGTACACGTCCAGACACTGCCTCGACCTCGTGGCTGCTATGCGAAGTTCTGTTATGTCAAATCAGCGTACGTTGCGGCTCATCTGACTGACCTGCACCCTCAAGACTGACGAGGGCTCCGGAATTCCACAGACCGCCAGGGGAGGCTGTATTCCCGGGCCATTCCCATCTCATTACGCCTGCGCCGTCATGTTGAGCAAAGGTATGATGATCAGTCGCGCGCAGGCTCAACAAGCACTAAAACTAGCGTCCAGGTACCCCGCGTTCCGATTCACGTACACGGAATTCACCCACGGGGCTCGCAAGGCTCGCAAGGCTCGCAACGAATCACAGCCAGCCCTGACAAGCCGACATCCGCTGACGCACGCCATCACCGTAGGCTGAACGCCGGCAACGCACACCGGAGTTCCCCGCATGCCCCTAGCGTCCTCGTCACCCTCGCGATTCCGAATGGCCACGGCGTTCCAAACGCTCGCACTCGCCCGAGCGCACCGGCGAGTTTGGTCCAATGTCGTGCGCCGGTGAGCGCCACCATCACGACAACCGCCCCTTGCCTTGCGCCACCGACTTTTTTAGATCTCAAGGCTTCAATGCTCACGCGCACGGCCCTCAGAGAAGCCCAAGTGCTCGCTCGTTCTGCTCCTGCCCGATTGGAGTTATTCTTGCGTAAGGACAAGGCACTTGTCGAGCACCTGCCACCTCGTACTGACCGGGACCCTCCCCCTCTGACAGGACACGCGCCCCCGTCTTCTAGGACCGCACAAGCGTTTAGTCGGCGGCGGGCGTAAGGGACGGTCTCGAGGCCACAGCGCCTCTCCCTCACAGCCCTCTGGCAGCGCGAAGCCAGTCTTCGTGCGATAGGACGCCGTACGTGCATTGAACGTGAGACTTCACACCTCTGTCGCCGCTGACGCCGGTGGACTTACGCCGGCAGACCGCGCTCGTCGTTTCTTTTCAGAACGGTGTGCAATGCATCTGGCGGTTAGGTCGTCGCGGCGGCTTCGCTGGAGCGCTTGGCGTGTCTTCCGAGCGCGCCTTCGAAGCCCGTGATCCAGGGTTCCAGACCGGTTCGACGCGTCACTTCGGGGCCGTCCGTGCCACTTCCGTCACCAATGGAGTTGCAAGTTGGGGCAAGCGGAACCGCGCGCACGCCTCGCTGGGGCCGGCGATCAAAGGGCGAAGGCAGAGACGACTAGACTGGTCTGAGGCTGACGTCGGCGCAGGGCTCGGGTGACGCCACCCAGTGCCAAGTCATCGCTGCGCATCATGCAAATTCGAACGGCTTTGTGGTCGACCTCAGGTTGGGGGCGGATAGCGAGGGCCTGGGCCGCGTTGGAGATGATCGCGGTGGAGGCTCGCCTCAAGATTGGCTCGGAATGCGGTGTCCCACTTATGGTGTGCCGACATCAGATGGCACACATATGGAGTCCATGAGAGGTGTACACTAGATGTTGAGTTACTCCACATCGCGCTCGTTATGGAGTGGATATGATGGGAGGGGTTGGTATCGTACGGGCCGGCAAGTGGAGGTGAGTATGGTCAACTGCTAGGCGAGTGCTCATGTCTGACGTACTATATACAATCGCTGGTTAGCCTCTATCCTCGGCAGCCATCCAGTCGCCTGAAGTAGACTCTCGGGCATCGACCACAGTGCGTAAGTCCCAGAAAAAACACACACAAATACCAGACAAATGAGCCACAAGTACTCTGTCGATATACTCGTCTACCCAAGTTCAAACGATCCTGCTCGCCGCCCGAATCACCCGATCCGAACAGTGCTCGCAATGCTGCCCGAACCGATTTGCCGCCTTCTCCATCCCATCTGCAAGAATACGAAACCAGTCGTCATCCACTCTGCTCTCGCCGCCGTGAAAAACGAACTCACTTAGAACCACGCACACATGCTCGCCCTCAGAGTCCCCGCCCATCTTTCCCTGTGCCTCATCCAAGATCGCCGCGTCGCTGTGCCAGTTATCGCCCGCCCTGACCCCGCCGTCCGGCGTGCGTGGACCCCTTAGGAACTCCGCTCCATGCCCGGGCGGCCTCCGCGGACCCCCGTAATGCGCGGACCAGCGCGGTTCGAGGCTCGCCGCCCACACGTCCCCAACGTTGTACGGCTGCGGGCTCGGCGTGCGCGCGGGGGGCTCTGGCACGGCATGGAGCGGGCAGGCGTCCTCGTCCCGCGGCCTTGGTGTCGACGGGCCCTGGGACGGGGGACTGGAGTCGGTGGGACCAGGACGCTCCGTGACGGGCGGGGGGATGCCCGCGGCCTCGCGCGCGCGGCGGCGCTCGGCGACGTCGGCGAGCCAGAGGGAGGTGCTGTCCTTGCGCGGCCGCGTGGACATGGACGTGGACGCGGACGGGGCGCCGTCTGTGGACGTACTGGGGCGGTGAGCGGCGCAGAGCTTTGACATGGGAGGGAATCTTGTTTTGTGGGCGCACCTGGTCCCTCCTTTGCACGCGTCTCGTATCGTCTCGAGAGGGGTCGGTTGTGTGACATGGAGATGATGGTCAGAGCACCCAAGAAGACGTGCTACGGGGAGCGAGGGAAGAGAGCGAGAGCATCTGCGGATTCAAGCGCATGTTATGAGGAGCTGCTGACTACCTGCTGGAGCATGCATGGAGCATGAGAAGTTCGGAGTTAATGGGGTTATATGGTTCTCCCAACATACTGTTGGAGGTATAGCTTGATGGAGGATTTATCGGGTCAGCTATGACGTGTGTTGGAGTAACCTCGAACGCACAGTTGGAATCACTGCCCGTGCGGACATTGTAAGTTTGCTGCAAGCTTGTACGTAGGAAGCTGGTATATGATATTCCATAATGATATGTCAAACATCAAACAAACCAAAATCCCCACTGTCAGGCGTCCGGCTGTGGGCCCAGCTTCAAAATCACCCTCGGCAGCTTCTTGGAGGCCGACTGAGCCGCGCCAGCCTCCTCGGGGACGGACGCATCCGTCGAGACCGAATCGCTCTCTTCGTCAGTCGACGTGATGGTGGCCGCTGCCCCTTTCTTTGCGGCTATCTTCTTCCCTGGGGATGCCGCCGGACTCGCTCGCGCAGGCTTCCTGTCGCGCAACGTGCGGTCTGACGCAGCAATGGGCGCGCGGGGGTGGGAGATGGGGGCGAGGGTGTGCGAGGCGTCGATGGACGCGAAGAGCTCGACCGTGCGCGCGAGCCAGGGGGCCGGGGGCGTGGTGTTGGACGGCCGGCCGCCGCGCCGCTTCTTGGTCGCCGCCTCAAGCTGGCGACGGACGCGTACGATGAGTGCATGCGGACGAGCGCGCCTGGGGCTACACATACCGCGAGGAGGTTCTCCTGACTCCACCAGGTCGGGTCCACCGGGTGCGTATCGTCTTCGAGGAGACCGGCGAGGTGGGCCATCGCGCCGCTGGCGAGCGCGCGGTCGCTGTAGCCACCTTCAAGGACGCTGATGAGGCGGCCGTTGGCGTAGCGCGAGGCGAATGCGCAGGCGTCGCGTGCGAATCGGTGGTAGAATGATGTGGGTACTTTGCGTCCGTGGCGCGACATACCAGGGTGCTCATGCTCGCTCGCGTCGAAGCCGCAACTTTGGGAAACGCGTGAGCGAGGGAAGCTCTGGTAAAGGAGAAGCATACCTGATGAACACCAAGACGTCATCCGAAGACTTGCCGGTGTTCTCGAGGAATTCGCCTGCTTTCTGTAGCAGGCGAGAGTAGGGCCCGGCATACAGCTTATCCCAGAACTCGTCTTCAGATGTGTACGGCGACAGATGAATATTCTCGATGTGCTGCCCGTGCGGCCCATGGATGGAGACCGAGGCTGCTTGTACCAAGCTCGTCTTCCCGTCTTCACATGGGTAAGATAATATGTCATGGATGCTGCCGTAGTAGACTTGCAGTCCGGGCTCGTGAGGCGCACCCGCTTCCCCTTCGAGCTGCTTGCGATACGTTTCCTCGTTGATCTGCCATGCGATGGCCTGTGTGCCGTTACCTGTAGCGTGTCAGCTGACTTCCACCAGGCTGCCTACCAACTCACCATGATGCAAGTCGATGTCCAAGACAACAACACGGTTAATCTTATACTTGAGATAGGCTGTGATTATGGATACTTAAGCAACATTGGGCCTGATATCTCAAAATTGCAGGGGCTCACCGTGAGCAGCACCCACGGCCACATTGTTGACGAAGCAGAATCCTGAGGGTGTATCCTGTGCATGGTGTATGTCAGAACATACAGGACTACTATTACGCGGGCACGCCGTCCCACCTCTCCGCAATGGTGCCCAGGTGGACGGACGGCCACGAAAGCTTGAGAAGGAGTGTCGGGGCTAGGCAAACCAACAACGCTGTCCACAGCTTCACACATGGTTCCAAGGGCACCTTGTATGGCGTCCAACGATCCTGGGCAAACTGTAGGCCTGGCAGAGTGAGTAAATGCAAAGCAACAGGTTCGGAAGAACACACGGTACAAGTCGCCTTGGTTGTAGCCCTCGGGGATCTCGCTACCGCCCTGGTTTATCTTGTCGTGGCTGTCTTGCGTCCACTTCTTGAGAGTCTTCAGATACACATCGTCGTCTATGTCGCCATGCACGAACTTGACTGCCGCGTGGTTCAGAATGTCTACAGTTGCGCCACTGTGGACAATGGTAGCCGGCACGCGCGCGGGCTGCTGGGTCGCGCATGGCGTCGAAAGCTGGAGCTTCTCGAGAGCCTTCGTCAGTTCATCTTCATCCTCCTCCGTTCTGAGCGGGGCGTTAGCGGGCGCGGGTTTGGTCGGCGCGCCTTCCTCCATGCGCGCGATGGCGGCCGCGAGCCCGACATTGACCGCGCGCAGCCGTTCCGGCCGCTCGAAGATGTGCGAGTTGTCTCGCGACCGAATGTACCGATGCAGAAGGCATGCTTTTTGCAGATATATCGATGTTGGGGGCATGGCGAGGGCGCGGGCGCGGATGGTTTGGGACAGGTTGGAAAGGCGACCGCGGTAAGGTCGCGCGCGACGCGAACCCCGGCTCGCCAAGCTTTTCGGAGCTTGAACAACTCACACCTCAGCCACAGTCAAGCCTTTCGGAGTTCGAATTTTATAGAAATGGATCGCTTTGGGATCGCCGCCGTGCATCCGCGCCACGCGCGGTCACGTTGTACATGCTGCAGCTGCCTCCTGCATTCGCTCCGCCACGCCCCCTTCCTCCTCCCTCTACTGCCACCTCAACATGGACGGCCAACGAAGGGCGGCAGACAACCTCTCATGGCTTGCTATTTTCGCGCAGCAGCGCCGTCTCGCTGGGCAGGCTCCTCCGCGTGGAGAACCGCGCAACCTGCTCGACCTACTCCTAAATCCCGACTTCCACCCCCACGACTTCATCCCCACCGACGCTGCGCACACCATGATCTCGATGCTTATGCCGATATGCCCTCGTTGACGACGACGACGACGACGACGACGACACGCCCTCCGGTTCCCCTAGCCGCAGTGGCTCCCCCTCGCCATCGTCGGCTGACACCAACGACGAAGATGGTGATTTGCCCCCGCCGTTAGAAGCGGACGACTCCCCCATCCCCGCTTCTTTCTTCTCCAACACGACCCGCCAACAGTCCCCTGTAACTCAGCCCCTCGATGCTTCCGCTCCCCGACCGGATGTGGAAGGTGGTCATGCTCCCTCCTCCCCTCGCACTACTGTGCAGCGTTCAGGTCTCGTCCTTTCGCGACGGACGATGGCCATGATTCCGATGCAGAGAGCACGAGCAGTCTTCCGACGCTCCAGAGCATCTCGGACTCGGAGGACGAAGACTCGGAGGACGTCGAAGACGATGATGGCTCTATGCCCTCCATGGCCACCGTTAGCGACTCGGACGAATGGGAAGACGAGGAGGGCGGAGACTGGAGCGACGGGAGGGGATGGCTCCGAGGGTATTACGTGGCAAGAGATGTTCCTCCGCCACCGATGGATTCCAACCCCTCTGCGAGCAGGAACTTGCCCTTCGACGCCGTCGACGAGCCTTTCTTCAGCTCGCGAGCGCTGTTGGAGAGGGCAGTAAGTTGTATGCGCTGCTTTTGGTTCGTCTACTGTACTGATCATTTCAGCAGAGGGGAGGATTTTTCGACGTCACGGATTTCACCTCCCGGCTAACTGCATTCGACGAGGATCCAGAACGGGCGAAGATGTTAATGGCCGGAATGGAGGTGGCATCGGAGGAGCTGGTCAAGCGGTACGAGGTGCTTCGAACAGACGACGGTGAGCCAGCGGACGGGTGCGCAATCTGTCGGGAAGGTCTGCTCGAAGTCTCCGCGGATGAACACAAGGCCCAAGCAGTCCTGCAAACAGACTCGGAGCTTCCGTTCCACGTAGAGCCACAGTTGGACTGCATTCTCGCCTTCCCCTGTGCCGGTAAACATCTCTTCCACAAGAACTGTCTATCCCCGTGGCTCTCGAGGAAAACGACTTGCCCAACATGCCGGTTTGACATCGACCCTTCTTCGCTCACTTTGCGGTTGTATCAAGATGTTCCCGAAGCCGGGCCCTCTCGGCCGGTGTCACGATCTGGACGTACCTGGAAGCCGCCAAAGGTGGAGACTCTGCTCGAGTGGGTACAAGGGGAAGAACAGGCTCGTGCGAAGGGCGTCCCACGAGAGCGACCGTCAGTCATAATGCCCGAATGTGAGTTCTTTTGTCTCTGTAAAACGTCAAGTCACTGACGAGCAGCAGACGTGTCGCCCGCTCCGCCAGTACACTCACTCCCCGAGTTTGATCCCTACCGCAATGTGGGGTTTCTTCCCCCAGCACCCCCTTCTTTCGTGCGATCGGATCCCCATTCCCCTGTCCCCATCCCGCAATATCCTCCTTGGCTAAGGGCGGTACGAATTAATCAGATGGCTCAACCGCACAACGTCGCCGTCGGTTCCCCCAATACCGTTGCCGAACCTGCAGTTGGCAGCTTCACCTCCTGGTCACACGAGGAGCTTGGCCGATTGCATGGAAGTCCCCTTATGCGCTCTCCACCCGATGGCGTATATGAGCTGGGGGACACTCGAAGCCCCGGCAGGTCCCCTCAGCCGGATTCTGCGGTTTCCAACCCAGCCGACGACCTGGATTGAACGGCCCTGTGCTCCCTGCCCCACATTTTCCTATTTCTCGGATTCCCTGGACAAGGCCCTTAGATGAGGAAGGTATAAGAAGCATATTGGTGGTCTATCATACGATGTATATCTGCTCGCAAGTCGTTCACATGCTCTCAATCACAATGTCGTTTTGCTGTCCTTGCCTTCGCAGGATGAGGAAGGTGGCCGCGTGCTCGTTATATGGGCTTACAGCTTCATGCAATACTGTGCAAATTCAATGTCTCAACGCCACAGTGGTTCTTCAATTGCGTCCTACAGGGGGTGAACCGGTGACAACTGGGGGTGCGTCATATGTGGCTCCATGACCCCGGCACATGCTCTCTCCAGCACCCACGCCCAGTGCACCCACAGCTCCCAGAGCTTGCTTGCGTGATCGGGTACTCTTTGTCGCGTCAAGCGAGCGGGGTCGCGGTGGGGTCGATGAGGTCAAGCACAAGGTTCTCTGCGGTTCTTCGGAGAGCGCAGCGTCTCCCCGCCTGGAGCCTCGTCCTCATCGAACTGAGTCCGTCGAGTATATAAACCCCCTGCTCCTTGGCTTGGAGTGGCCAGAACACCCCTCTGCATCCTAGCAGCAACTTCATCCTCTTCAACTACTCATCATCATCCACTCCCCTCCACCTGAACAACCTACAGTAACCTAACCATGTCCGGACACGAGCCGTATCGCCCCTACGAGTTCGAGGGCACGAACCTGCCCGGCTTCAACTCGGAAGGCCTCCGCGTCGGCCCTCAGCCTGGATCCCGCACCACCGAGGGTCAGGGGACACTGGCCCCCACGCCGGCCAGACGGGTCTGCAGGGACAGCAGCCACCGCTCGACCCGTTCCTCGAGGCGCAGCAGAACGACATGAGTCCGTAGCTTTTCGCCGTCTCAGCGAACTGAGGGCTGACGGGTGTGTTGCGCAGAACGGTCGCAGGGGGGCACGCGCCCCACACATGACCCCACCGACACTGCGAGGTGGGAGTCGAGCGGGGACTTCAAGCCGAACCAGAATCGCAAGGCGTCTGTGGGCGAGAAGATCAAGGGTATGTCGATTTACCCTGCTGGGCTTGTACATACGCGGAGGTGCTGACCGACGGTGCCGTACAGTGAACGTCGAGAAGCTGGTGGATCATCTCCCCGGTCGTACCCACTGAACGATCACGACAACGGAGTAAGAGTTGAAGTCTCCTGCAGTGAAGTGATTATTAGTCTCTATGCGTGTAAGGCATGAATGCTGCAGTGTATAAACACATCTAATCCGAATCTGCGTCCAAACGTCCCATAAGCGTGTGGACTGTCCATTCGTACACCCCCAAGAAGATGGCGCCGCCGGCTGATATCCAGAGTGTCCTTGGTATAATCCCAGCGAACAGTGCCTTTGGCCCCTCATTGACGTATATCTGTTGGAAGCGTGTGAAGACCGAGGGGTAACCGTGCTTAGACGGATCCTATGTAAGCAAGCGCGTCAACTTTGTGTCGCGAATAGAAGCGAATAATACCCACCCGCATATCTAGCATGACTCGAGTCTTCAGAACGTCTAGTGGTGTTGTGAGGGCGGCAGCGACGCCACCCGCGAAGCTGCCGCAGACGGCGGCCTCGTGCGCATGTAGAGGTCTATGAAGAGTCTTGGCAAGGCGCAGCTTCAGCCACTCGTAGAGCGGGAACTGGAACGAGGTGAACGGGATCTGTTGACAGTTGAACGCGATGCACAATGCATGTATACATCCGATCTCACCTCGCGCATGATAGTTGTCCCGAATCCCCTGTAGAACCCCGCAATGCCTTCCGTCGAGAGTAAGAGCTTCGCGGCTCCGTAGGAAGACTTGGCCGCGGCACCATAGGACGATGTCTGGGCGCGCGTCTTGATCACTTCGGTAGGGACACGTATTGAGCAGGCTGCCTGACGCAAGACTGCTGGCATCAGTAAGCACATGAACGTCGACGAGTATGCGCTACGCACCACTTCACCCATGGATGCGGCAAGCATGTGGGTGACCGCCGCGTAGTCGGAAGAGATGGGGAGGGTGCGCTTGAGCGTGTCATACGTGCAAAAGAACACAGCAGCTGGACAGCGCACATTCATGTCAACGGGATACTGGCGCGAACATAGTGAGCACTCACCTCCAGGTGCACTCCCCACTACGACACTCCCGATCCCCTTGTACACCCCAGTGAATCCACCCGCACGCACGAAGCCCTGCGAGGATTGCAGACGTGTCTTGATTGTGTCGATGGGGAAAAACAAGAGGTCAACCGCTGTGCCTGCCGCACCCCCTGCCTTGATGAAGCGTTAGAGAGTATTCTGTTACAGGACGAGCGGTGATGGAACGTACGACCAGCGACTGGTAGAACGTCGGCCCGGATTTCGTGGACATCGTGGGGCACTGGAACAGCGCAAAGAGCAAGAGCTCGCGCGTTCACTTCAGTGCTAGCCGGTGACGGGGATCCACACAGTGTGCAGAAGGAGATGGCAGGGGGAAGACGAGTCGAGGACGGTCGGCGCGACTCGTCGCGTGCCACCGCGGCGCGGGACTCCCGGCGTTTTGTTTGTCCTCGCGAGCCGCGGCGAGCCTCCCGCTCGCGAGTCACTCCGATACCCCACTCCCTCATCTCTCAGTACGCACTCTCCTACGTTGCACAGAGAAACCTACAGCAATGGACGACACACTGAATTTCCTTCCTCGGCACCAAAGCCCGTTCCATCCCAAGAAAAGGAGGAAGACGAGCAGTCCGAGTCCGAGTCCGGAGACGAAGACCAGGGTCCGGATTGGACAAAAATCCCGTGCGTGTGCACGCGCGAGTTCTCCGAAGCCATGTTTAAAGCTCTTTCTTCCAGTGGACTCGCTGCGTCGCGTCCGGTCATTCCTAAACGAGGCGAGAAAGATTTCGAGCCCTCTGCGCAAGGAGGGTCGAATCTGCAAAAGCATGTCCTAGACCGCTCGCGCGGTGCGATGTTGGACGCCCTGAAGGCGACGCGCACGATCTCCCAGTGAGTATTATCCTATGTCTTCCGTTTGTGCCCCGTGCTCATCGCGGCCTTCAGCAAGTCCGTGAGCCATGCGATATGGTATCCACAACTCAAGCGGGCGCACGTCACCGTATCTAGGGGAATTCTCTTCGCGAGTATCGGCCATTCTGCAGCAAGAGCAACCGCGGGGCCGGATGGAACCGTCAAGTCACAAAAACGACTGGAGCTCCTCCCAGAGGAGGCCTTGTACTTGGTCGAGCGTGGCGCCATGTACTGTTGGAGACCCACGGACCTACCTTTACCTCAAACACCGCTGCTGGACGACATGGAGGGAGTGCCGATGTCGGTGCAGCAGGCGTATGCGGAGATGATTGGGATTGAGGATTTAACGTTCGAGAAGTACCAGGTATGTGGATCTATACCGTCTGCGCTGTGCGCGGCAGTAACGATGATGCCTTCAAGGTCTATGCATATCTAAAGAGGTTGGGATACGTCGTCACTCGAACGAACCCCCTTCCTCCGACTATCCATCGCCTCCGCCCTTCAATTTGAAGTCCTCCAGTCACCTGTCAATATTTGCGAGAATATACAACGCATTGGCATCATTCCTGGGGCGACCAATCGTCCGAAATCGTAATTGGTGGCGGCCGCTTGGGTCTGTTAGCTGGTTACACCACGGTCTTGCACATAGTAAGCCACATGCTCTGCGCTGCACATCGATCCATAATCCTCAACGTTTGCCGCAGACACCCTCTTCAAGTCCATGCGGTTCTTTCCGTCTGGGAGCAGCGCCCCATTACACGTGAAGAAACCGGCCGACTCTCTGTCGTCCCCCTACCAGATCTTCTTCAACCTCTACAAGCCCTCGACGCCGTTCAAAAAGACCGCACCCCCACAACCCGACTTCTCCGTAGTAGTTGTCAAGTGAGTTTTTTTTTGCGAGCTTTCCGTTACCTCCGTGCTCACCTTCACCACCCATCCCAGTGCACGCACCACCCCCGTTCCGTCACTCACTGAGCTCACCGACCTGTTCGGCGAGCTTCCCGTGCTACCTCCTCCGGTCCCCGTAAGCGGATGTCCTTCGCGCAGCAGAAGGCCGCTGCTGCCGCCTCCCACCAACCGCAGAAGGCTCCCCCTGAACCTACAGCACTGACGAGCATAGATCCTCCCCAGTCTTTCGCATCAAGAGCATGGACGTGGGTATGGCCTTGGTCGGCTCAGTCCCCGGCAAAACCTCCTACTCGAAACCCCAATCCGTTCCCGCTGCTCAAGACCGGAAACAAGATGGTCGTCATCGCGGTCGTCGACGCCGGGACGATCAGCTTCTTCAGATTCGGGCAAGGGGTCTTCTCGGAGTGGCCGATGGCTTGATTCGAGTCCTTGTACTTGTAGTGTTGAGAAATGCAGCATCGCACCAGGGTTATCTAGCGAAAAGATCAGAATATGCCCACGGGAGCCGTCAATGTCGTAGGACTCACCACAGTGTGATAACTTGACCATCTAAACGCGACTCGAGGTTCGGGAAATTCCTCCAAAGGACTTGGATGGCGGACCGGCTACAACGAGCGAGGCTGGCCATGAAGGGGCGACCGAGGAGAATGAGCCTCGGAAGAATTTCCGCTCCTTGGTTTGGATGGCGCAGGAGGCTGGGGGTAACGGAAGAGCGGATACTTTATCCACCAACCCAGCACTCGTCCAGCCGGGCCCTGTGCCTTGGCGCTATGAACGCGAAACGAGACCCCAAAACGACTAGTGGCAGGCTACACTCCCGACGCGGCCCGGCGGCCCGGCCCGGGATGCGAGACAAATGGGAGCTGGCTCATAAGGACCCCTTGCCCAGAAAAATGGTCCGTCCATCGCTAACAACCCCCCGCTTACCACCCGCTCTTTGCTGAGCGTTGGAGGCCATGCTCCGCCGCCTCGTCTCGCGCCGCACCCTCGCGATGGCCTCTGGGGCCACCGCTCTCTCCGCCGCGGGCGGGTACTACTACCTCAACTCGGGGCCCACCTATCCCCCATCCACGAAGGAGACCCGCAGACCTCCCCCGCCATGGACTCCGCCCTCGCGCCAGCAGATGCTTGACGCGCTGAAGCTCTCGAGCCAGGACCCGACTCAGGAGTTCGACCTACTCGTCGTTGGAGGAGGCGCGACGGGCGCGGGTGTCGCCGTGGACGCGGCCAGCCGAGGCCTCAAGGTCGCGTTGGTCGAGATGGACGACTTCAGCTCCGGTGAGTGTCGCGATCGTCGTGGGGAACGTGCGTGAGGGGCCAGTGCGCGGGCGGGAGCATCTTCGGCGAATGTGCACGTTCTCCGGCGCGGTTATCATGCTCCGAGGCCTGCTGCTCTCATCGCGGACCGCCCGGACGTTGCTCGCCGCCCGCATACGTTCGGCACGGGTTCGAATGTCGCGTACACGGGGGGATGGTTGCGCCGTGTCGCCTCCGTCCAATTCGTCAGGCGTCGCTCCTCATTTGCCTGCGGGCATCGTCATGGACGCGCAGAGCGTTTCGCGCGTGTACAGTGGATGCGGAGAGGCGTATACTCAAGTTTTGCTCTCCAGGAACTTCTTCGAAGTCCACCAACTTGTCCATGGCGGAGTCGGTATCTACAGAAGGCTGTCATGGAGCTCGATTATGAGCAATACAAGCTCGTAGTCGAAGCTCTCACGAGCGCAAGATCTTCTGCAGACTGCACCCTATCTATCCGCATGCTGCCAATCATGCTGCCAATATACAAGTACGTTCGTCTTGTATCATGCTGCGTCTGGGATTCACATTATTCCCAGGTATTGGCAGGTTCCATACTACTGGGCCGGTTGCAAGATGTACGATTTATTGGCTGGAAAGGAGAACATGGAAACTCCTATCTTATGAGCAAGGGAAAGGCCTTGAGGCGTTCCCTATGCTCAAGCAGGACGGTTTGGTTGGGGCACTTGTCTACTATGATGGTGAGTACACGCTTTCATCTGTCTTGGTCAAAACCTTAAGACCGCCCAGGCAACACAATGATTCCGAATGAACATGGCTCTTATCATGACCGCGGTAAAGGAGGGTGCGGTGGTTGCCAACCACGTACAAGTCACTTCTCTCGACAAGAAGGATGGCAAGCTCAGCGGCGCGAAAGTCCGCGATGTCCTTACCGGCAAGGAATTCAACGTCTCTGCGAAGGGGATCGTCAACGCGACAGGCCCCTTCTCCGACTCCTTGCTCACTATGGACAACCCCGACCACAAGCCCATCGTGCAGCCCTCCTCCGGAACCCACATCACGCTCCCCAACTACTACTCTCCCCGCACAATGGGCTTGCTTGACCCTGCTACCTCGGATGGTCGCGTCATTTTTTCCTCCCTTGGCAAGGCAACACTATTGCAGGCACCACGGACACACCCGCGGAAGTTTCGACGGCGCCTCGGGCGCAGGAGGAGGAGATCCGGTGGATTCTCGAGGAGGTCCGCCGATACTCAGCCCGACATCAGGGTCCGCCGTGGTGACGTACTCAGTGCATGGTCCGGACTGCGCCCGCTCGTGCGCAATCCCAACGCGGCGAGCACGAGGGCCTTGTCCGCAATCACATGATCCACGTCAGCGAGAGCGGCCTCCTTACCATCGCGGGCGGGAAGTGGACGACCTACCGCGCGATGGCGGAGGAGACGGTAGACAAGGCCATTGAGGTGTTCAACCTCAAGGACCGGACCAAGCGTGGGTGCGTCACGGAGCACCTGCGGCTGATCGGCAGCGATGGCTGGAGCCGGAACATGTTCATTGGGCTCGTGCAGAGGGTAAGCCCCTCCCCTGGATTCAACGACGCATACGCAGACTGATGCGCAAATTTGGCAGTACGGCCTCGAAACCGAGGTCGCCAAACACCTCTCGGACAACTACGGCGACTGTGCCTGGACCCTGCTCTCGCTCGCTCAACCCACGGGTAAGGCGTGGCCTCTTCACGGCATCCGCCTCTACCCAACCTACCCCTGTAAGCCTCGATCTCCAACTGCGCTCCCCCTAATGCATGTTTTGAATCCGCCAACTGACCCGTCCCCTACAGTCATCGAGGCAGAAGTCCGCTACGCCTGCCGGTACGAGTACGCCGAGACGGCGATCGACGTCATCGCCCGCCGCTGCCGCCTCTCCTTCCTCAACGCCCAAGCCGCGCTCGACGCCCTCCCGCGCGTCGTCGAGATCATGGCCGAGGAGCGCCGCTGGCCGCGCGCGCGCGTCCAGGCCGAGCTCGCCGCCGCGACCGAGTTCCTGGGCAGCATGGGCCTCATGCCCGGCGCGCAGCCGCGTCCCATCTCCGACGCGCCTCACGGCGTCGTCGACACCGTGCTTGGCGGCGTCGGGCTGGGCAAGCGCGCCCACGCGAAGCGCCAGGCGCACGAGCTCTTTTACTCGCGCGCGCAGTTCGACGCGGGCGAGGTCGAGCGGCTCCGTGGCGCGTTCGCGGCGGAGGCAGAGAAGGAGCACCCGGGCGCGGAAGCGGAGGGGACGGTCGCGAAGGCGGCCGCGTTCGAGCTCGTGAAGGGCCTGCCCGGGTTCGAGGGCGTGAAGATGAAGGACTACGAGTACGTGCTCGAAGAGGCGGGCTTCACCGCCCAGAAGGAGCTCGTGTTTGACGACTTCGTCGAGGTGAGCACGACGACGTCTTGTTGCGCTGGAGGTGCTGCAGGGTCGCTGACGCTTTGGTGGTCGTCAACAGATCTGCGCGGAGCTGCGGGAGTGCTGTTCGCGCCATCGGTGACGAGCGCCGTCAAGGCGGAGAGGACACGCATACCGGTGGAGAAGAGCGGTGGGGGCGTGTAATCGGCGTGCTCGAGCCGGTTTCCTTTTGTGGCACTACCATCTATCAATGCACACACCACTACCACTTATCATTGCATCACCGGCGAGATAGAGCTTGCGACACAGCCCCGCGGGTTGACTAAACCTTAATAAAGACCGTTCATGACTTCACACACGCCCATAATGGTTTCCTGATAGAAACTTGTTATATTGTCGGATACAGCAAACGATAGCATGTGGGCATGAGACACGACAGACAGTACGAGGGCTGCATCATACAGTGCGATACAGGAAGACGAACGAGAAAGTTGCAGGACATTCTTACGTGCGCTCACCACGGAGGCGACGCGCGAGCGAAAGGTCCTTCGGCTGGCTACAAAGCAAGTCAATAGCCGTTTCGAGTGTCGCGACAAATGAAGGACTACGCACATCGTCACACGCTTCGCGTGGATGGCCGCGAGGTTGGTGTCCTCGAAGAGGGAGACGAGGTAGGCCTCGGCAGCCTCCTGGAGGGCCATGACGGCCGAGGACTGGAAGCGGAGGTCCGTCTAGTGACACGCGGTCAACACACGCACATAACGCCGGACCCGGGGGACGCGCCACCGCGCCGCACCACAACGGTGACTCACCTTGAAATCCTGGGCGATCTCACGGACCAGTCGTTGGAAGGGCAGCTTGCGGATGAGCAGCTCCGTCGACTTCTGGTACCGACGGATTTCACGGAGGGCGACGGTACCCGGCCGGAAGCGATGAGGCTTCTTCACACCACCGGTGGGGGCCTGCACGCGTCGTCAGCAACGGGAGTCGACGCTCGCCTGCGGCGGGCTGTAGGGGAGTGTACGCACGGGCTGGGTCTTGCGGGCCTTGGCGGCAAGCTGCTTGCGGGGAGCCTTACCACCCGTGGACTTGCGGGCGGTCTGCTTGGTGCGAGCCATTGCGGAGAGTGGCGGGAATGGGACGGGAGAGCTGGAGAGGTGGTGGTAGAGTGTGGGTGGTGGTCGGAGGGGAAGAGCGGCTGTGACGTTCAACAAACCGCGTCCGAAGTATATATACCAGACGCGACGACACGTGACTGTGAAGCCGAGTGACGCGCCTGTGGCTGCGGGCGCCTTCCTCGCGTTGTGCCTCTCGCTCAGCGACCACGACCATCCAGTACCACACTCCGTCTTCCACTTGCCCTCTGTCTATGCGGATATTCTCATGTGCTGTTTTTAGACTGCTCCACACTCGGGCTTATCGACATGCTTGACTTTCACGATGTCGAGCTCCATTGAGAGTTTCCTGTCAACTGTGGTCAGCTCTCCTTTGACTCGTTTTCTATCCGCATGACTCAATATCTGGATATAATGCAAGATACTTGCATCATCTGTAATGCGCATACCCTGGATGCAATGTGTCCTCGGGGAAAGGCGTTATAAGTTGGCGCGGATATCTAACAATCAATGGAAGCAACGCCCATGTTGGTGCTCTACATGCGACCCCATGGACGCCCTCGGGTGAACATAATGTTGCTTCAAGGTACAACCTACTGGTATGTGCACATCTTTATGCGCGTGGCTACCACGGTTACGGCTATCAAATATCCTTGAGTGTGTTCTTTGCATATCGTATCGAATGGCGAAGTTGTTCCGTGTATGCGCTCTGAGGGTGAGAACGCCCCACTCATCTACTTCCTGTTTGAAAAAAGAGCATGACCCAGATGATTGCTTGCCACTCTCGTAGTTCTTGAAATACTCTTATGCCGACGACTGACTTGATAATTCTGCGCAGGTATCCTACCAAACGTGGCTAAATCGGCGTAGAAAGGTGCTCAGAAGACCTTTGTCGGAGTTCTTCTCGTCTACGCAATTCCCACCGCGCTATCCCAGGATCAAGACGTAATCCTGCGCCACGAGACCCTCCATCGTATGGATGCTCTCGAAAGCCATGCTCCCTTCCCGCCGATTGTCATCGAAGCTTTCTCGCCACTGGACCGCAGCGCGAACATTGGGACGACAGGCGGCTTATGGCTGAGAGTGGAACCTCGAACCGCCGAGCGGCGTCGGGAGTCCGGTAGCCGCGCGAGTTGCACGATCAGGCTCATCTCACGTGCTCAACACGCTGCATGCGCGTGTTGGCGGGCGGGCATCATACTTATGCTGAACTGCTGAGGCAACCGGACAATCGATGCTGAAGCCCAATCCCAGTCCCCCCTGCACCTAGCCTCCACCATCGCCCGCGCACTCGTTTTCCCGCCGATACCGCTATCATCCTCATTCACGACACAAAGGACACCGCCGCCGACGACCAAGGGTCCGCCCCGACCCCACGTCCTCCACCATGTACCTCTCCGACATCGCGAGCGAGTCCTACCACACCTCTGCTCGCTCCCGAGATTACGACATCCACGGTGTGCCCTTCTCACCCTCTCTCACCTCCAAACGGCGCGACCGCCCCCGCTTGCGCCACCCCAGTGAAGACGCCGCGGACGCCCCCCTTACCCTCCACACCCACTCGCCCCGGCCGCCCACGACGCTCACGATCCCGCTCGACGACAACTTCGACGCTACACGACCGAGGTCCCGACCGAGTGGGCGCCCGGCGACGACGCGCCCCCGCCCGACGGCCACGGCGACGCAGAGGACTACGTCCCCGACCGCGAGGAGTCCGTCAGCGGCTACCGCAACTACGTCTCCGAGATGGAGCGCATGATCGCGGCGGGCACCGGCCAGCGCGACACCGTCGCGCGCGCGCAGGAGCGCCAGTACCAGCTCCAGGGCCCCGGCCAGCGCGCGCGCGGCCACCACCCGCCCCCGTCGCCGCCCCTGCACCGGCTCAAGCGCAGCACGAGCACGAGCGTCGCGGACTCGGGCGCCCTCCGCGCGGACGAGAACGACGGCAGGCGGGCGCGGGGCGGGTGGGGCGCGGCGGACAAGCGACGGGCCGCGAGCGGGGGCGGGAGCGGGGCGTTCTCCCCGCTGAGCAGGCAGGCGCCGTACGCGCCGACGTCGCTCCCGTCTCCGCCGGAGAACGCGCGGCGGGTGAGCGGGACGCGGGGCCACGTCGAGCTCGTCGAGCAGCGCGTTATCGAGGACTCGCCCGCGCGCACGATCACGCTCTGGCGCGAGCGGGTTGCGCAGAGCTCTGTGGACGGGAGCGTGCTCGGAGCTATGGACGTGGACGAGCGCGGCGAGACGGAGAGCCACGCGCACTATCGGGATGGCGGTGGCGGTGGAGGGTATGCGAACGGGACCGCGACCGGGGTCGGGACGGGGAGCATCAACGGCCATCGCGGCGGCGGACACAGGCGGGCGCCGTCAGGCTCCCAACACCCCGACGCACGTCTCCGCCGGGTCGTGAGCGAGCACGCCCGATACGGGAGCTCTCTGGACGGCAGCCGAACGCGCAACACCAGCGTGCGGGACCCGGAGGGTGGGAAGACCCGCCGCGCGTCGTACGAGCGCAGCGAGGTGAGTCGCCGCCTCGCCTCAGGACCCGCCCTCTCCCCGCTAACGGCCTTCCTCACAGTACATGATTTCGTACCGCGAGGCGATGGACATGGACGGCGCCCCACACTTCGTCCCCCGCTCCTCCGACGCAGGCGGCTTCGCCTCCCCCACGCACGCCTCGGCGCCGAGCCCCGTCGCCTCCCGAGCCCCTCCCTCCCCGCAGGCGCGCCGTCACAAGCCGCAGCGGTCGCTTGACAGCAGGAACGAGGTGCGCCGCGGTCCAAGGGCCGAGGCCGAGACTGAGACTGACCACGACCGTCTGCCTTCATGTCCATGCCAGTTTCCCCCGGGTGGCGGCACGTACCTCCACACTCCGCCGCGCAGCGGGAGCGGGACGAGCTCGTCGGGCCCGTGCCCCGTCCCCGCGCCGCGGTCGCCGGTCGCGCCGCGCCAGGGCTCGCTGCGCGCGAGCAGCCATGGACAGGCTATAAGGACGTCGATGTGGAGATGGGAGGGGGCGGGAGCCCGCTGCGCGCGTCCTCGACGTCGGTCGAGCTCATGCTCGCGTCGTGCGACCCGCCGCTGCTGCACATCGCCCCCGTGCTGGGCGAGCTCGGGATCCTGCGCGTCGACCACCTCCGTGCGGTGGCGAGGCTGAGCGAGGAGACGCGGGACCGCGAGGTCAAGGAGGAGGCGCTGCGTCGGGGAGTCACTGTGGTCGAGTGGGCGATCTTCATTGATCGGCTGCAGAGTTTGTAGGAGGTGGTGGTGAGAGGTCGCCTTCCTCATGGGCAGGACGTGGGGGTGGACTCGTGAATGGTGATCGGAGTGATGGACGTATCTGTGTTAGTACGCTGTTGTGCATCCACGACATGTACCATTATGCACTGTAGCAATAGCACTGGTCGAGGGGAGAAAGCTGGTTTGTGAGCTCAGCCAGAGAGAACAACACATGGACATAAGAAAGCCTGCGAGCTTGCGCACTGGCACGTCACCTTGGTGCTCTGAGTCGTGGTTGCCTCATGCATCTTATGCAGAGGTTGCGCACACGGCCGTGCAGCGAGGTGGTACGATCGTTTGGCGCGCTCCTTGATGCGTGCAAAGGAGGATATAGGAGTCAAATCACTAATACAGCCTTGCGCCACCAGCGCTGCAACAGCGGAAAAGCAGCCCAGAGTTGCTCTATGTCGGATGCTGACCCTTCTAACTATACAAGTACAACAAGGGAAGGAATGACGGTCCTGTAAACCTTCATGGGAGCGTCAGCGGTGCTGAAATCCAAGACAAAGAAATGCATCGAGCACCTGCCAAGGACAATGAACGATACTAGTGCTCTCGCCAATTGTTCGCACAAGCAGTACAGCTGTAAATGCTTGAGATAGATGCAATTCATGATACGTGATGCATACCGATAGACTGGTTACAGCACAACTGTCAGCACATAGCGTTTTGGAAATTTTAAAAAGCACCTACACGTCGTCATTGGCTCGTCAGCAGACCGGATCTGCAGCTGGTAGAAGTACGCGCGACCGTTTTCGCACTTTGGACATGATGCTGTGGGCCACGTAAATGAGCGAAGAGGACTCTGGGTATCGAGCAGGTCGTACCGTCGGTTTGGTCAGCGTGCTTCCACTGTTCTTCTCCGCCGAGCACATCGTCTACTTCCTTGCGCTTTAGTTTTGTGCGCGAAGTCATCTTCGAGGAGAACATGTCAGTAGAGCCTGTACGACAAAACGGCTACATGCATGCTACCTGTTTCGTTATTGGGAACTCATAGGCGCACGTGTTGCACGCCCATTTGTTGTATCCCGTCTCGGCGGATATCACTAGCAGGTTTGCACAGTTCGGACAGAACAGCATGGTTTTGTGGTTGAAGTACGAAACGGCCACAGAGCCTCTCTGAGAACATAGTTGCCGGCTCCCATGGCGCCAAATTTCAACCGGCATAACCGGGCCGCTTCCAGCCGCCCCGGGAAAGAGCGTCGCCCCGCGACGCACACGGTTTCATTGCGACTCCTACCTTGGTGTGCGCGGGACGAAGTGCGCACCCCATCCACCCTCACGCACTATTTACGGCGGTCATAGCTTGCGTATTCAACATTCAGTCACTTCAGGTCACTTCCGTGACCTGGCAAAATTTCGATCCACCATAGCTCTTGTAAGTCAGTGTCTCTATATCCCTTGCGTGCAATATGCGAACATTCTTGTCCTAGACAATGGAGAAGGCACTCAGCATCGCAGAGGTTGTTCGGCACATATGCGCCTTCTCATCCAACGGCACCCTGGCCAATTTGGCGTGTAGCAGCCAAACGACACACGAACCCGCAACGCAAGTCTTGTGGAGGAACCTTCCCAATTTCGTCCCACTTGTTCTGTGTCTCCCCCAAGATGCGTTGGAAATCGATAGGCACGGCTACGTGCAGGTGAGGCGCGCTTGGGACGATATGTGCCCCATATTGTATGCTCACGACTTTGCCAGTGTCTGAGGCGGGTATTGACCCCTGCGGATTGGACAAGATTCCAGAAGTACGCCAGTCATGTGCGACACCTAGGTGCATCAAAGGAAGACTCCTCTCTGTCTTCTCACCGCAAGACTGTGAAAATCGGAGAAAACATCATTTCGCAACTCGCTGCTTCCCGCCCTACTTTCGTCCTCTTCCCCAACTTGTTGCGTCTCACAGCATCGACTTGGTTGTCTCCCACTCTTCTCGCCGTCGTCATCATGCTTGTCGGTCCACATCTGAATCATCTCCGCATCGTAGATTGGATGGAGGATGACACGCGCAACCTATTTGCGTCTTTACATCTCATCTCTGGACGGTTTCCCTCTCTGAAGAGACTCACCATCAAGTGCTTCGAGCTGAATGGCAAAGCATTGGGAATGGCTCTTTTTCTCCCCCCCTCTCATTTCAAAGTGCACAAGACCATGGACGACGCTTCTTGGCTGAGGGGGCTGCAACACTTGACACATCTCAGATGTCGAGGGCTTTCTCTCGATGCTCCCGGATTCCGAATGCTCCAAGAGCTTCCTAACCTTCGCGCGGTCTCAATATGCCTCCCAGAGACCCTTCACTTGGATGATTCGCTCCGTCGCACAAATGCGTTCATCAACCTCGAAGAATTCGGCGTTGTCACCACAGTCGCGGCCTATACTGCGTTCAGTCTCGCCGTCACCCTCCCGAATGTCACGAAGATGTCAATAGAGATAGTTTGTCATTCCCAAATAGCCGACGATGCTCTCCCCGCCCTCTTTTCCGCATTACGGTATCAACTCTCCCCAACCACGCTTCTGGAGCTATCCGTGCGTCCGATGGAGCGCATGCCTCTGGAGTTCCGTGGCGAGGCCATAACCAAACTCGACCCTCTGCGGCCACTATTCGAGTTCCACGCCCTCACCCTTCTCACGTTCGCTTTCCCCGCACCATTCAAGCTCCAGGAAAAGGATTACGTTGAACTTTTGAGTCTTCTCCCCCCACATATCGAGCACTTCCGCTTCGCATCTGCCGGTAGCGTGCCCGACGGCTACTACCCTTCCATCCGGATACTCGAGGCGTTCGGCGCTCACGCCTCGTATCTGCGCACGCTCGCGTTCCCCGTCAACGGCACTTCAATAGCTGTTGACCAAGCGCTTCAAGTCTTCCATGCAGATCAGCCCCGATGCCGCGTTCAGTGGCTCGACCTCGACCTCGAGCTCAAGGTCGACGACCGCAAAGAAGAGGACTTGATGACATCGGTACTGGCGCTCTGGATCGCGCAACGGTGCCCCGATGTGTCCGGCAAGACTTTCAAGATACGGACGGAGCGCCGACGCTCCATGGGCGTAAAGATAGGCACCTACCTGGATTTTTATCGCCACATGCGCGAAGACGAGAGAAGGATGCTCGCGAGACAAGCTGCAAACTAATTCGGCGCACTGGAGCGTCCCACACAAGGTTTTCAGCGCGGAAGCTAAGCAGTTCCATCGCATCCAGCAAGACGAGAGGCGGGTGATAGCAAGCCGGCTTGCAAGCCCACCTGGAGCGGTGAAGGGCTGAATATCCAAGTAGTTTATATCGGACTTGGGTCGTGTCACAACCGTTGGATGCACGTGATGAGGCGGTACCACACATAGGTGTTCTAGTGTAACCATATGTAGTGACTCTCTCCACCCGCCATCCACCACCACTTCCCCAATAGTGAACCAACCTCCTAAGATACATCTTCGTAAGGCCCACAATGCGTAAGGAATGGCTCTCCTGGGTTCTCAGTTAACACGCCACTCCACAGACCGCGCTTTACACACAATTCCGAGCTGCCGTGCGACCCGAAGCCAACTGCTATCCATAAACCCCCATGTCCTGGCTCAGATCCCTCCAGTCCAAAGGCAAAGGCAAAGCAAAGGCCTCCGGCTCCGCCCCCCCGTACCCTCTCCCTGGCACCGACGCCCCGCCCGCCTGGCAAGCCGCGCCCGAGGAGATGCACGCCGACGGCCTGCGCTCGGAAGCCCCCGAGGCGGACTGGCACGCCGGCGAGGCCTTCTGCGCCGCGCACCCGCCCGACCCGCCGCGCCTGCTCCCCTCCGCGGACGTCGAGCGCATCCGCGCGCACGGCTGCGGCGCGTGGCGGCTCGCCGCCCCCGACCCCGCGCGGTTCCGCGGGCGGCTCGCGAACGGCGGCGCGCCCGGCAAGCACGGCGTCGTCGCCGTCGAGAGCGCGGCGGACTGCCCGGAGACGGTGCTCCTCAGCGACCTGCCGCTCCTCGCGGGCCTGTACGACACGCGCGGGCAGCCGGGCGTGTACTTCGAGGTCAAGGTGCTCCGGATGGACGACGAGGCGGTCGTCGCCGTCGGTGCGTGCGGTCGTTCTGCGCCGCTGCTGCTGCTGCTGACTGACTTGATAACTGCCCAGGCACCGCCTGCCGCCCCTACCCGCCCTTCCGCCTCCCGGGCTGGAACCGGCTGAGCGCCGGCCTGCACCTCGACGACGTCCGCAAGTTCTTCGAGGACCCGTCCGGCGGGCAGACGTACGCGCCCGGCTCCGCGCTCGCGCGCGCGGGGCGCGCCGCCGCGGGCGACACCGTCGGCGTCGGCTTCGCGTGGGCGACCGGCGCGCTCTTCTTCACGCACAACGGCGCGCGCCTGCCGGACGCGTACCTGGGCGCGTACGCGCCGCGCGCCGCGCACGACGTGTACGCCGCGGTGGGCGTCGCGGGCCCGGGCGTGTGCGCGCTCGAGGTCAACTTCGGGGCGCGCGAGTTCGAGTGGAAGGAGGGGAACGACTGGAAGGTGCAGGCGCACGTCGGGATGATGCCCGGTGGGGGTGGGGTGGAGGACGAGCTGCCGTCGTACTCTGCGGCGCGGCGGGACAGGAGGGTCGATGCTTGATCTTGAGAGTTCGATTATAGACTCGGTCGGGACTGTAGGGACATGGAAACACGAATGTATAGCGGCGGACGCACGGACTACTGTCAATAAGTTACGATGATTACACCCGGCTCCACCAACTAATGTACGCATCCACAGCATCTAAGAGGCGATCCTGAACGCACCAGAACCATCCTCGATCAGACCTTGCACTCGAGCTTCGAACCAGTAACCATTGCGATCGTCGCGCCCAAGCACCATCCGAGCTCCGTGCCATCGATCTGCTTCCCGAGCTGCACCTCACGCTCCCCGCCGAGCTCGTATCCGAGCCGGAGGAGCGCGTGCTGGAAGGTGAGGTCGAGGCACCACTCCGGACGGCCCTCGAGCTCCTCCATGAGCGCCTTGTCCGAGCCCCAGCGCTCCTTCCACGCCTTCGGGCCCTCGCAGACCGTCTTTGCGACCTCCGCGAAGGTGGAGATGTGGATCGGAGCCTTGAGCGGCTTCGCGGTGGTCTCCATGAACGGCGAGAGGCGGTCGAAGAAATACGAGAGCAGGAGGATCTTGCCGTGCGGGAACGTCTCGATCAGCGAAGGCTGGTACACGCCGTTGAACGAGCACGGCTTCGTCGAGCAGATCCTGCGGGGCCGAATCTTAACCAACGCAAGAAACGGCGAACGGACGAGAACGAGCACTCACGCGTCCTTGGCCATGACGAGCTCCACGACTCGGTTGCACGAGTCGAAGCTGCCCACATCCTTGCCGACCATCGTGACGTTGAACTGGCCGCCGAGCCGCTCGTCCTCGATCTCGACGAGCTTGCTCGTCGTCTGCGCGAGGCACGGGTTCGTGACCTCCGCGTCCTTTCCGTGCCCCAACCCGCGGAGGCTGCTCATGAACTCGACGACGCGGTGCACGCTCTGGCGCGCCGTCTTGAGCCCGTAGCCGAGGTAGGAGTGCTGGTAGAGCGTGCGCGTCCCGCCGTCGTACCGGAGCGCGTACTTGTGCTCGCCGTCCGCGAGCCCGGCGTCCGGCTTCGCCATGTCGAACGTCGGCTCGAACACGATCTGCGTCGATGCCCCGCCGAGGTCGAGCACCGCGTACGGCGGCTCCCCGCCCGCCGCCTTCGCGAGTGTCTTGAGCAGGTAGTTCGCCGTCAGCCACGCGTACACGCCCTCGTCCGCGCCCTCCATGATCGTTACTGCCTCGTCCCCGCCCTGGAGGCTGAATGGGTAGTAGTCCCGGAGGCGCTGCCGGACGGCGGCGAGGATGTCCCCGCTCTCCTTCGTCCCGAGCTGGCGCAGGCCCGCGGTCGCCTTGACCGCGACCGGGGTGCACTTCTGCAGGGACGCGGGCACGACGCGCTTCGCCTCCTCGAGGAGCGGGTCCAGGCTCTCGGCAGCGCCGCGCGGGGAGTCGCGGAACGAGGAGAGACCGGGCTGGAGCATCTTGAAGACCTCGTACTCGTACGCCGGGGACGGGCCGCAGTTGTTGAACTTGTAGATGTGGATCCGGGAGCCCGTCGAGCCGGCGTCGATCATGAGCGCGAACTGGACGAGTGGGAGGTCCGGCTTATATGGCTTGGTGCAGAAATGCGTCTTCGTGAGATCGCCGTCGCTCACCGGGTCGGTGGGACGGGCTTCGGGGGCCATGTCGTCGTCGTGTGGCGGACGAACGGGGGTCCCAGTGTGTTTGGTGGTGGTGGGGTGGCCCGGGGGAGGCATGGCCAAGTCGATGTCTTGGTAGCTTGTGTCCGGTCTCAACGCACCTGTAAATAGGTTGGTCAGTACATGAGACGAAGGGTTCTGAATGCACAAGCGTATAGAGCATGAATGTGCGATATGCTCCACCCGACGAGATAGATGATCGCAGTGCATTCCACCCCTGACACTACAAGCAGCAGAGGATGAGGGAACCGAGCACAACTCCAAACCACGCCCGAGTCCAAAGGGACCCGCCTCCAAACCCATCGGTGCGGCACCGCAGACACGCACGATCCACCCCCAAAGCCCCCACACTCCCGAGCTCACCAAAACCGAGACACTCACCGGGCACATACTCGCCCAAGTCCTCCCGCCGCGGGCCAAAGAAGTATACGACCGCGATGACGACCACCGCCCCGAGCGCGAACTTCTTCCACCCGAACCGCCGCCCGGACGCGCTCCGGCCGGGGCCCATCCCGCCCTCGAGCCGTTCGTAGTTGCTGCTGCGTGGGGAGAACATCGTGTGTGCGTTGACGGGCGTGCTCGGTGCGTCCGCGTCCGAGGTCGAGTCGAGGTCGAGCGCGCGGGGCCGCTTGTTGGGGAAGGGGAAGAGGTGGCGGAGATCGAGGCGGAGGCGGGGGTGTCGCCGGGTGCGGGGTCTTCTTCAGAGACGGCGGCGCACGCGGGGTGCGGGGTGGACGGACGAGGAGGTGGAGGTGGAGGCAGACTCGGAGGGAGAGCCGGCGCCGAAGTCGGGCTGCGGTGATGCGAAAACGTTGGCCGTGGCTGCCGTCGCCTACGTAGGCCGATAGATGGGGCGCTGAGCGCTGAAGGAGGGTGGAAGGGGGAGCGGGATGCGGTCGCCGCCTCGAGAGGAAGTGGGAGTTCAGTGGAGGGGAGTTGGGAGCAACGTGCACCCGTGCTGTGCCGCCCTTGCCACGCTTTCCACTCGCGACCTTCTGCTGGAACATATTCTAGGTCGTTGGCAGACGCCCTCTGTTCGTCCAAATGGACTGGATATCCCAACGCAAGGTTTGCAACACTGAGGCATGTATGCACCTCATTCAGAGCGAGCAACACTGTTCATTGCAGAACAGCGTCAAACATGCAGATCACACGAGATCACACGGAAAGATCAAGGATGTACAACTTTCGCATTCATCATCAACGTGGACTGACTGGACTGAGCAACGACGACTACGACAAGCGACTGGTATGACACAGACAAGACACAGGGAGAGGTGGGGTACTAACTACTCCCACCACAATTAGCGACTGGTTTTTCAACTATCGAAGGGGAAGAGGGGAGGATGATGCATGGGGATGGGGATACGACGCCGCTCATAGCGCAAGTGGAGTGGGGAATATGGGGATGATCTGGAGCAGCGAAGGTCGCAGCAAAGCGCATACGACTACAGACGGCGATGACGGAATATAGGGGAAAACATAGCGCGTAAGTCAAGAGAGTGCGGAAAGAGAGCGAGCGGGGTTCATGGGAATCACATCTCGAAAGTCGGCACGTCGTGTCCGTGACTCTCGAGCAACGCCTTGAACAGCATCGCGCGCTGCCGCCACATCTCCTTCTCCTCCTTCTCACGCTCGACGGAAGCTTCTAGCTCACGCTGGTACTCCAGCTTACGCTTCCGGCTTCGACGAGCCGCGAGAGTGTTCTGACGACGCTTCGCCTCAATGGCGTCGACGTCGTCGGGAGCAAGGGACGGGTCCTCCTCGAGCTCATCCTCCTCGAATGCTTGCGACCGTGCGCGCTTCTTCTTTATCCAAGCCGCCGGCACCTCCTTGCGCGACGTGGCCGAAGGAGTGATGTACGAACGCTTCTGGATGGGAGCGTCCATGCTGACCAGGGCGTCGGGGTGATGTTCTTGCGTGTCCCGGTCGGTAGCGACTTGCGGGGACGACGAGCGTCGTCTGCGGCGTTCAAGGGCTGTGTGTGTGGCGACGGGTGGAGGGAGGCGGGGTCGAGGGACGGCGTCATTGGAGAGGGCATCGTCAACAGACCGTCGAAGTCGAACGCAGGGTGCGGCAGCGGGGGGCCATGATGAGCCGAGCTGGGCAGCTTCGATGACTCGAACGCTGGGCTCAACAGTCCACCGGCACCGAAGATGGCCGCGTCCATGTCGGGAAAGTTGTCCGCATCGAAGATGGCGGGACTGGTGAGCATGTCGGAACCGATATCGGCCGACTCGAGGGCAGGCGTCGTGAGGAAGTCCTCAAAGGGAGAATCATCCATCGGCGACGTCAGGAACTCATTGAAGTCGTTCGCCATGCGGAACTCGGGCGACGCTGAGAGGCGATGAGTCCCTGCAGACCCCGTGTGGATGAAATGGGGCGTACCTTGGATGACGTCCATTATCGCCTGGACGGTATCCGCGTCCGCCGACACCTCGGACGAGTGGGGCTCCTCGTGCTTTTGCTGGAGCATGGTCAAGTAGTTGGTGCACAGGGAAGAGAAGTCGAAGTCTGACGAGCTAGACGCGACTGGGGGTGCTGGAGCTGAAGGGGCAGCTGGGGACGAAACTGTTGCAAACTTTGAGGTGCGAGGTACTGGTGGGAGAGACTGGGGGATTCCATGGTGGGCAGCAAGAGCCGATGTCGAATGGAAGACCGGGTGGGATGTCCGAGGACGAGTCGATGTAGGGTTTACCGGGACATTTTGAGTCGGGTAAGATGGGAGTGCGAAACTCTGGATGTCGAAGAAGCTAGGGGAACCATGACTGGGGTGGGTTTCCGGGGGTCCGCGTGTGGACGCAGGGTTTAAAGGGAACGGAACGACATTTCCGCGACGATGTTGTTGAGGGTACGAGAACTGGTGGGAAAACAAGGTTGCGGTTGGGGGATGGGGAAGTTGGGAGGCGTCCGTAGGCAAACCCGCTAACGGAGGGAGGTGTCTGTGGTGCGATGGTGGCGAAATCAGTGGTGTGTTCGCGAATGAGGAGTCATTGCCGTATTGGTCCGCCGACGGGAGGAGAGGGGAAGGAGACGGGGAACATAAGGTCTGGCGATATGCCGGTTGGACCTCGGATGGCGACGTTTGCCAGTTCTGCGTCATGTGCGATATCTTGCGCATGGGCGCGGAAGATGACTCGGCGGACTCGTTGTGCGAGGGGACAGACTGAGTCATGAGCATTGCGCAGAGCGAAAATGCTTAACGGGCCAGCGGAAATACGGCGAGACCGAGGAGATTGGAGGAAAGACTCACGAGGTGCTCAGAGGCTACGTCTGAGTCAAAGGCGAGTCCTCGACAGTGGCAAAGACTGCGAGGAGGTGGTGGGGGTGGTGGGTGAGAGAGAGGGATGAACAGGCGGACCTGACTCGGAGGGCTACCATTTATCGTTCCCGACTCATCGCTTTTCAGACTCAGAGGCGCCCGGTGTCCAAGCTGGGTTATGTGGGCGGTGCCTGGCAGACGCCGACCATGTGCTAGCACTGTCAATTGCGACTCGTCCCGCCTGTCCGCAGCCCAGCAGGCCACGCACGTACATCCACAACCACGTATGCACCCGTTCTACACGTACGCAGCGAGCAGCAGAACGTCCACGAACACGCAAGAGCCCCTGCGCGCGCAGGGCGCAGTCTCGCAGGCGCGCGCGCAGAGAACTGCGGGACCGCGCGGGCCTCCCGAGTCAGCAAACAGATCTTCCCATGGCCCCTGCCAGGAATGGCAGCTCGCGGCCGGCCGTCCGTGCCTCCACAATCCACCTGTGCGCGAAGCGGCGACGCCGCCCCGCCCCGCCCGCCCGCCTCGTCGCCGCGCGTCCTCGTGCATCGTGCGCCGCCTCGTTGCCCCGCCCCCCGCCCTCCGTCGCCTTTTCGGGATATCCGCCCTGTCCACGCGCCGCACGGACGCCAGCCTCATGCGCGCGGCCGCCTTCTTCGGTGAAATTCCCGAGGTCGCGCGCGACGGCCGACGGCGCGACTGTAATCGTCCGACGGCGCGCGGCGACGGCGGCACGATCGTGCCATCGATCGTGCCGATTCCCCAGGTATGTGGGTCGCCGAACGCCTCTCCGCTCCGTCTCCCCCTCCCGACCGCCCCGACAACCGGCCGACGCCCCTTCCCCTGGTGTGCTCGTCCGCTTGCCTGATCGTATTCGCGTTCCAAAGTTTGTTCGATATCATATTGGTGTGACCACTAGTTCCAGTGTCTGCGCACAATCAGCGATCTCAAAGCATTCGGGCGTGCTGCACGTTGGGCGAGGCTGCGGAGGCGCGCAGCGGCCGACCAAGGTCGGAGCGCCCGCGTCCAATCCCACCGGCTCGGGAGGGGCGCATGACCGAGAAAAGAAGCCCGACGACAGCGACGAGCGATAGGCCGGATCTTTGGATGCCCTCCAATCACGGATTGCTCAGCCTGTCTGTCGAGTCATTTCCCCCGCGCGCCACCCCCATTCCCGCGATCCCCCCGCGATTGAGCGCGGCGAGCGCGTGTGCGCACGCCGTCTACGCTGCACGACGGGGTGAGACTCCGGAGAGTGAGCGTGCAATCTGGAATCTGCAGCGTGCAAGTTGAGGACCCGGTGAGAGACGGTGGCGCGCACGGCGGTGGGAAAGACTTCGCGACTCTCCCCGCGCGCGCCGGCCACGGAGTGAAGTAACGTTGCGGTGGCACAGCCCGCGTCCGCATCGCCCTCGACTTGCGTGGAGAACGTGCCTCAGATGCCGGGTCGTGATGTGGTTGGTCGGCGTCCACGAGAGCGCGCCGCTCACCATCGGGCCTCTTGGGGGCAACTTTGACAACTTTGACGTGCGGGTCCTCAGAAGCTGGATTGAACGGAGCGTTTACGCGCGATACCACGATGTATTGCCACCCCAGCTTCTTCAGCGACATCTTGCTATATGCGTCAGCACTGGAAGAGGTCGCTCACCGACAATTCGCGTCCCCTGCGACGCGACATTGCCTCGCGCACCGCTTCCCTCCGCCTCCCCGTCACTGGGTGCGGGGCCCACCGACTTGCCAAATCCATCATCGCCTTCGTCGGGCGGAGGGGGCCGGACGCCGACTTGATTTCACAATGCCTCCGTGCACCGCGGATGCCTTGTTCTGTTTAGAATCTGCTGGCTTGTTCGATGGCGTGGCCAGCGACGCTCAACACTGGTCTTTGGGTTGAGCATCGCACAGCCCATCGTCAACGGAGGACGTCAGCGCATGCGTATATAGCAAGCCGCGCACCTAAGAGTTGGACCCGATGTAGCACAACATCGCATCAGTCGCTTTCACCCCGGATCACGTATTATCGATCGGCTCTTGCAAAGTGTCCCCGAGCACTGCGAGATCAGTAAACCGACCGGGTGCCGATGCCATCGGCGAAAATACAGGAGGTGTGCAACACTCACCAACAGTCTTTCCTATCTATTAAGGGCCTCGGCACGCCGGATGGCTGAAGGAGGCGTCGCCCTCGATCATAGCGTCTCCCCCGATGAGCGCCAAAAGTGGGAGTGGCGTCACACAATGTCAAATCGCGTTGGCGGCACATATATGCGGGCAAAATCCGACAATAAGATACCTAGTGGAGGGGACACCAGGAGACAGAGCGGGCGGAGCTCGGGAGGGGATGGGGGGAGCAAAGGGCGGGCAGCGCGGAGGGAGTTTCAGTCGTTTTATTGCAGGGCGGCTATTGAATATTGAGTCAGGACCACCTTTTCCGGAGGGCCGATCAAAGTTGAGTCATCCACGTGGTTTTTGCGTGCTGACGTTCATCCGGCTCCGGTCTGGCTGGCACACGCCTCGATGCTACCAGACGGCGTGACTGACCTGGATGGACCTCGTGCACGATCCATCCGTCGCAACATATATAAACCCCCCACCTTCCCCAGCCATGCCGACCCTGGGGCCCATGTTCGAACGCGCCGAGTACGTCTTCAAGTTCCAGGACACCTCACCGCCCTCGAGAGGAGTTCCTTACTCCGGTCCGACGACTTGACCGCTGCCTCCGCGGGGCCAAGTCGGGCCGGATTGGATAAGTCCATGCATGACCCACCCATTTGAAGTTCCGAAATCTCGCTCCCGAATCCAACTGTATATTGCGGAGCCAGCGCCTGAGCCTGAGGATAATAGTCATTTCTTGCAGCACAAACGCTAGACACACCTCATGGATGAGTTCGAATTCGATGCGTCGCAGATTACTACCTTGGTACCTATTGAAACAAACCGTGGCGATTTGGGTGATGCCGAGTTGTCGCTCAGCGTTCAACGTTCAACGTTCAATGCTCCCATAGTTTAGACATCACCTCTTATCAGACGCGGTGCAAACGACCATGAGAACTCGGATTCGCAAACAATAATCAATGAAGATCACACGCTTATGACAACATGCACGCATGACAAGATCCAAAGGCAATTCCACGGTGAGCTTATCTGTGGAATGCTGAGTCAGCACCCATATGCGTGCTCGGGCGTCTCCTCCGGGTTGCGTCCTACCGTGACGTGGATAATCGTCCCGCGCTGATGCAGCCAGCGGGCTTCTTCCCGCTAGATGCAAGGTCAGGCTCACGCACGTGTTCGCATACTCGTCTCGAGCAACAGGTGGGTGCTCGAAATATGTCTTCGTCAGTCGCTTCTCACGCCTAGCACACATCAGCCCATTCAGTACCACCCACAGATCGTGAGGGCACGGCACATGTACGCTATGTTTGGGTGAGCCGTTAGTCCATATTACATGTCAGCGCTCCAGCGCATCACGGATGCGCTCACTCAAAGTCCGACGCAAGCCACAGCCCGGACCCGTTGACCAGAGTTTGCCACTTGTCTGCCCGGGCATACGGTTTGATGAGCTGCCAGCCACCACTGCAACGCACATCCCACGTCCCCGTCTCATCCGCGTTACCGACGGGGTCAGGTCCCAGCCCCCTGCTCGGTCAACACATCTCCGGTGCGAAGCCCGCGCCTCGTGCGCGATCAAGAGGAGTGTCGGAAGCACCCAGGCGACTTCCCACCACCTGATGCGCCATGATAAAGCAGGGCGCGAGTTGGGGGCTGAGGCGCACCCAACTCGCAGCTGCCGTCATGCTGCCCTCACTAGCTGAGCTGGCCCCCGCGCTAGCGCATCTCGCCTCCCACGTCGACCTCGCCACTGTGCTCGCCGCTGTCTTCGGCTCCGCGACGGCGCTGTACATTCGCCGCGTCCTAGAGTGGCGAGCGCGGTCTCGAGGACGGCCCCTTCCGCCTGGGCCGAGAGGGCTTCCGTTTGTCGGAAATATGTTCGACATGCCGAAAGTCAGGCCGTGGGTGGGCTTGAGGGAGATGTGCGCTCAATACGGTACGTCACCTGCCATCTGTCCTCTTTGTGCCGGTAGTCTGACAGCAGAACAGGGGATATAATGCACTTTAGTGTCATGGGGCAGCGCACTATCGTCCTGAACAGCCCAGAAGCGATCTCGGAGTTCCTGGAGAAACGGGCGGCAAACACGTCTGACCGCTTGGTCACTCCCATGGTTCGCCTGTGAGTCCCTGTGGCACGATGTGGAGCGACCGCTGAAGTTTCCCCACAGAACCGCGAACGAGTGGGTGTTCGGCCTGATGCCCTACGGCCAGTCGTGGCGGGACCACCGGCGGGCGTTTTGGCAGCACTTCAACCCGAACGCCATCAGCATCTATCAGCCGACACAGGCATTGTCATCCGGAAGCTCTTGCGCAAGCTCCTTCTGACCCCTGAGAAGTTCAGGGACCTCATCCGGTTGTGAGTTGGAGCCCTTACGTTACCTAGATCCCGAACTAACAGGCACCCCGGGTCAGCACGTTCGCTGCGACGATGCTCAAGATCATTTACGGCATTGAGTGCGATGATGAAGACAACGAGATTATGCGGGTGGTGGAAGAGTCGCTCCAGGGGACTGCCCAGCTCTTCGTGCCTGGGAAGTACCTCGTCGACCTGATCCCGGCGCTCGAATACGTGCCGTCATGGTTCCCCGGGGCCGGGTTCCAGAAGCAGCTGCGAGATGGCGGGAGACCTCGATTCAATCGGTTGAGATGCCTTATGCGCAGCGGATTCCTTCGGTAGGTTTCTCTTTGCGGCTATGCCTGCGGCTCCTTACAAACCGGCAGGCAGAACGTTCAGACGAAAAGTCGATTGTTGACTCAATGATCGAGAAGTTCGGCAGGAGGAGTGACAAGTCAGGAGTTGACAAGGATGTGGAAGCGGTGATCAAGCAGACATGTGCCGTCTCACTAGGAGGTATGGAAATTTATCTTCCAATCTGCATGTCGCACGCTCACATGGAAGTTCATAGCCGGAACGGACACTGTTTGTGGTCGCTTCACCACACAGCCTCTCCCTGACCAAGGCTCTTGCAGACGTTCTCAACCATGCAAGCAACATTCTTGGCAATGTCGCTTTATCCCAACGTCATGAAGGCGGCGCAAGCAGAGCTGGACGCAGTCGTTGGCCCCAGCCGCTTGCCCACCTTCGACGACCGGGATGCCTGTGTTTACGTGAACGCTATTATCAAAGAGAGTTTGCGTTGGTTTAACGTTACCCCACTTGGGATCTCGCATCGTACCTCCGCAGACGACGAAATTTCGGGCTTCTTCATCCCGAAAGGAACCGTCCTTATCTCCAGCATCTGGTAGGCGTCCCGAGATCCCTGCACTATCTGGTGACGGGCGACTCATTTTAGTGCGACAGGTCCTGCATGCACGACCCAGAAGTGTACGAGAATCCCGAAGAGTTCAGGCCAGAGCGATTTATCCGCGACGGCCGGCTGGATCCTGACGTCCGCGATCCATTCGACTTCGCCTTTGGCTTCGGACGGAGGTCAGCTGTCACGTTCTAGTGCTCCCGCTATGCTAACGCGCAGGGGACATGGTGGCAGGATATGCCCAGGACGGTATTTCGCAGACGCCGCGCTCTTCCTGAACATCGCGACGGTCCTGCATCTCTTCGACATCGGCGTCCCGCTCGACGACGCTGGCGAGCCCATTCCGATGGAGGTTAGGCTCTCGGACAGCTTCGCCGCGTGCGTCCGTCTCGAGTTTTCTGCCCTCGGCCACACGCGCTCACCGTGCCTTCTTTCTCGCAGATACCCCGAAGAGTTCCGGTGCACGGTCAAGCCCCGGTCCGCAGAGGCGGTGTCCCTGATTCTGGCGGAGTAACGGAGATGTGGATCTTCTGTTGTTGTTCGCTAGTGTACACTACTACAGCGCCCGATGTATATGTCCGGTGAGTAATGGAGCGCGTCCGTCCGTGTCCGCCGCGTCACTCATACTGTGCATTCTACATGTGGTGTGGCGAACAAGACTGTGTACTACTCCACCGGTGTCCGTGCTAAACTAGAGCGCCGCGCGGTCTGGTGTCGCTCCCGACTGCTTCTGCTCGAAAGGCTGGGTTTCATCAAAACATATGTGGCTCTGCGAGGCTTCCAGGTAATTCAATCGGACGCTCGTGCCATACTAATGTGGCAGACGTGATGATGCATAGAAGTCCTTCGGAGCCGCGCGCTCAGGCCCTAGTGGACTCCGGAGTGTACCTGTGAAGCCCCTGCAGGGTGCGGCGCTGTGGGCTGGGGTCCCAATACGATTCCTCGCAGACTAACCCCAGCCTCCGCAGTGATAAAGCACATCGCGACTGACTGGTGAGCCAACAACATCCATCGACATGGACGTCCTCACCTCAGCCTTCAGCCTCTCCTTCTCGCTCACCAGCCTCCCCGCCTACGCCTCGGTCGCGCTCATCGCGCTCGTCGTGCTCTACGCCCGCTCGCTCGCCGCATGGCAGACGCGCGCGCGGGCCGCCCTCTCCCCCCGGCCCGCGCGGACTCCCTTCGTCGGCAACCTGTTCGACATGCCCCGCGTCCGTCCGTGGGAGGGCCTGCGCGAGCTCAGCGCGAAGTACGGTAAGCCCACGTATACCCCTTCCCGCGCCGCGTCCGACGCTGATTCCCACCGCGCCCATGCACAGGAAACATGATGACGCTCCAGATGCTCACGCAGCGGATGGTATCCTGGGCAGCGCCGAGGTCATGCTCGAGTACCTCGAGAAGAAGTCGGCGACGTCTTCGGACCGCCTGCAGAGCCCGAGCGTGCTCCTGTGAGTGCAATGGCTAGCCCACCGCCACCACCGCCGCCACCGCCGCGGCGGGAGGTCCGGTCGGCTCGGTAGTCCCTGGCGTCGACTGATTCCCAATGGCGCGACACAGGACGGGCCACGGGGACGCGTTCGGGTTCATGCCGTATGGTCCGCGGTGGCGCGCCAACCGGAAGCTCTTCTCGCAGTTCTTCAACCCGACCGGGATCGTCAAGTACCGCGGCGCGCAGCGCGCCGTCGCGCACGAGCTGCTGCAGCGGCTCCTCGCCGATCCGTCGACGGAGCACCGCGACAGGCAGGTCGAGTTGTACGTGCTCGCCATGCCCCTTTCGCTAAGCGCGTCGGACGCTGATGTGTCACGCCGATGGGCGCGCGACAGCTCCGTTTCGAACATGCTCCTGCGGATTGTGTACGGCATCTACGCCTCCGAGGAGGACCAAGCCATCCTCGCGGTTGACGCCGGGGTGCGCGGCACGCGCGAGGTCATCCTCGCCGGCGGTTTCATCGTCGACTACTTCCCGGTCCTTCAACACCTCCCCTCGTTCGTCCCGGTCCAGCGCAAGTTCGCGAAATGGCGAGGGGCGCTGGAGAAAATGACGGCGCTGCCGTTCGCGCAGTTCATGAGCCAGGAGGTCAAACCGGAATGCGTCCTCAACGATATGCTCGCTGTCGTGGACAAGGGCGCCAAGGCTGATCCCGAGGCGCAAGGCCTCGCCCGAGACGTCGCTGCGGTGGTCTTCTCGGGTGCGCCTTTGTCTCCTTCCTTTCTGGTGTCGCGCGAGCTGATTGTGTTGTGACTTCGCAGCGGGCACTGATACTGTGAGCGCACGCTCATCCTCACCCCTGACCGACCGAGTTCTGACTCCCGGCTCTGCGCAGACTGCGTCAACCATCAAGTCTTTTTCCTCGCGATGGTTCTGTACCCCGAAGTGCAGAAGAGGCGCAGGCCGAGCTCGATGCCGTCGTCGGTCCCACGCGGCTTCCCGACTTCAGCGACCGCCCTCCCTGGTGTACATCAATGCCATCATCCGTGAGATGTACCGCTGGATGCCGGTCCCCCCATCGGCGTCCCGCACCTCACGACGGAGGATGAAGAGTTCGGTGGCCACTTCATCCCCAAGGGCACGTTGCTGGTGCCGAACGTCTGGTGAGCGGTCACGCCGAGTCGAGGGACGTGCGTCGGTGTCTGACCGCCGACGAAACAGGGCAGCTCTACACGACCCGGAGGTTTACGAGCGCCCCGACGACTTCTTCCCTGAGCGGTTCATCCGTGGCGGGGAGCTCGATGGGGAATCAGGGACCCGGCCGACTTTCTCTTTGGTTTCGGGCGGAGGCAAGGACCGATGCCTCCCGCACGCTCTGAACTCGATACTCATGCTACCGCAGGATCTGCCCCGGAAGGTTCTTCGCGGAGGCCGTCCTCTTCATCAACATCGCCATGATCCTGCACACCTTCAACATCACTCCGCCGCTCGACGAAGCGGGCCACGAGATCAAGATCATACCACGGATGGGGAACGGTGCCGTGTCGTGCGTGTTCTCTCTGGGCGATCTGTATTCGGAATCTCATACTCTGAACAGGATCCCGGAGGATAGCCGCTGCGCGCTCAAGTGCCGTTCAGCCCAGGCGGAGGCGCTCATCATGGCTGAGCTCGTTTGATAAGGGTGGGAGCAGCAAGCAAGCTAGCAAGGTCCGGTGTACGCATATGTATGAATACAAGTACGTCCTGGATCCGGTCTGTGTATCTGTATTATGTCTGGTTATCGTACGATACTGTCAATTACTAGTGATGTAACCCGTCTGTACTGTTCCGTCTCAGCGTTGGATCAAAGACAGCAAGATTGACCCACACATGTGAGACTCTGAGAAATATGAGTTCGGGTTCGGGAGGAAGTGCGACTCGCGAAGGTGCCATTCAAGAAGCTTCCAGCGCGAATTGGAGTACAGAATTGCAGCCGTATTCATTAGAGTCGTCACGCTGTTACGCTTCTTCACCTTCTCTCCTCCGTTGGGTGCAGACGGAAAGGAAAGAAATATCAAGCCGCAACTGAAAGACCTTGTCTCGTATGTCTAGGATACTTGAGGTACCCGTCTGCCGTCGCTCAGTCACTGATCAGTACCTTGGTCAATTCTCTAAAGCTTCTAAAACCTCTAACTTCATGAGGACTTAGGGAAGCTTAGAAAAGTTAGAGGTTTTTAGAAATTTTAGAGCACTTGGAGATGATAGAGAGAACCACTTGAGGGCAGGCTCGAGCTTGCACGACTAGAATTGGCCCTGCCATCTGAGCTCATCATCTCCCTCTCTGTTTCAGACCATCCTTGTTGTATATGATCAGCGATCAAAACATATTTATTAATAAGTTGTTACACAGTGGGGCTAACAAGTAATACTACAGTCCTGCGACAACGCGGATGCAGAGGTGGAGGAGGGCGATGTGGAGATGCACTGTCCGCACCCTGCCGATAGGCTGTCGGAACGGATGCTCCCGTCGATTGACAGCTACTCGCCACGGGCAGCGCAACCGTAGACGGCGTCATCAATGGTCCCGAGGGAAATACCCTGGAAGGTGACGTTGGACGAGATGTGTGTGATCTCGAGCGCGGCGGTGAATGGGTTCGCGAGCGAGACGGTCGTGTGCGAGACGTTGTTCTCCCCGGTCGTGGACAGCACTAGCGTCGGAAGGCTGATGTCAGCGTAAGAACGTTCGCCACCCGCGATGCGGCGCACCTTGCAAGGACGCAAAGTTCAGCAGCTTCGATGAGAGCGCAGGAATCATGGCGTCGATGTTCAGGCTCTCAAACGTGGCGAGGAGTGATTCGACCTTCATGCTTCGCGACCTGGACGTTGGTGCCCCCAAAGAAACGAACTGGCCCAACATCTCGAGACATTGCGGCGAGTCGTTCGGCTACCCAGAGAGGGCTCACTGAACGACGAGAACACCAGGTGATGTTAGTCCACCACCTCAAGCGGGTGTTCTCGATGGTGATGCTGATCGTCCCCTGCGTCAAGGACGCGCTCGCGGCCTGCTGTACACAAACAACACATCAGCCCTCGTGGCGCCGCTGCCCCTGGCGCATCCAGGGAAGTGCGCTCACCGTGTTCAGCCCACCGACCACCCCCTGCTCCGTCGTGATGTTAAAGCTGTTCAGGATGCTCTCAATATCAAACCCGAACTCGAACGGCAGCTCCATCCGCGCCTACACCGTGCGCGAGTTCGTCACCGGCGTCCACTCGCTCTCCTACGTGAAGTCCAGCGTGAGGTCCCCGATCTCGATCGCCCCTGGGGCCTTGAACGGGACATGCAGCTGCAGCGCGGTGAGCCCCGCGGTGAGCCAGTCCACCCCGGGGCTCCCGTCGTCCCAGCCTGGGCATCTCCGTCCACGTTAGCCCCTCGACGGTCGTGTTGCGGGACGCATGTGCGGCCTCCATCGACACGTGCACGCTGTCGCCCTCGACGAAACCTTGAAACCCACCCGGCCGGAATACGTCAGCAACGCCGATCGGACTATTAGACAGTAAGAACACACACCGTGGAAGCTATCGGGAACATGGGGACTTGGAGCCTGTCGGAGAAACAGCAGACGAAAAAAAGACGAGAAGGCCCCAGAGTGGTGGCGTGTTAGGCGGTGCTGCGCTACTTATACGAGGCCTAATGTCCTTGTGCACCCTGCAGGACATGCATCCAGGTAATCAATCGGACGCTCGTGTCATACTAATGTGGGACACGTGATGGTGCATAGAAGTCCTACGGGGCCGCGCGCTCAGGCCCTTATAGTGGGCTCCGGAGTGTGCCTGTGAAGCCCCTGCAGGGTGCAGCGTAGGCTCGATCATCTAGCCGGTCGGTTCAAACTCCGACGTGCCCGGTCGGTAAACCGCTGGATGATCGAGGCTCGAGCCTAGGCTGGTCAAACTGGTCGCCCGTTTGGCAGGACCGCTCAAAAAGGAAGCTGGATGTGAGGGACTTAGAAAAATCGCGCGTTTTGGCCTCTGGGGGTTACTGGAGCTCCCCTGTGCACGTCCCTCCAGTCCATTCCCTCCGGTGTGCGGGTTGTTTCAGCTGGTTATAATCGTACATAATGAATCATTTGTGAGAAAACGTGGGTCTACATCGTCATTCTCGCATGAAAGCCGGGTGCTAATACGCTGCTCGACGGGGTGGAGGAGGCAAAGGGTGCAAAACCGGGGTGGGGAGGGGGCATGCAGATGACGGGATGACGAGGTGCTGCTGGGGAAAGTCGTTACAGTCTGAAGGTACGCTGATGAAAGCCGCCGAAGTCCGCGCGACGACTTGCGCAACGGGTAGCACCACGGGAACGTCCAGTCGCAATGTTGCGTGATCCTGCGCTCGCACGACGCGAGCACAACGGTGCCGCGCGCGCCCCACGCGTCTCAGGGCACGGCCGCGGTGCCGCTGCGGGCGAGCGCGTGGAGGACCGCGGCGGAGAGCAGGACCGTTGCGAACTGCTAGGTGTTGGGCGAGGTGCAGCGCGAGGATGCGCCGGGAGGGGTCCGGCAGGAATGGCGTGTAGGTGGGGCGGGGCAGCTTGAGGGTGCCGTGCTCCAGAGGAGCGAGGCTGCCGTGCTCGGAGTCAGCGCTTCCCGTGGGGCCTGCGCGTCCTGTCGAGCCTGTGCAAACCCCCCACCCCGCATATATGGGCTGTGCCAGGGGCGCAGAGCTGCAATGCATGGTGAACATAAGCGATGTTGGAGGGGGCGAGGTGGGGCGCAGACACGAGGGATGACATACCGCAAGCAATACCAGCCGCTGGATACATCGCGGGCATCCCAGCCGTGGGTGTCAATGAGGATATCACACGGGAAAGCACGTGGGAGTGGAGCACATTCAAGCGGGTGTAACTGGCGAACAAGTGGGTGTGCTGTCGTAGGAGGGCGGGAAACTTGATCATAAGCTTGACGTCGCAAACGAAGGTGGAGCAGAGGGGCCCCTGCCGTCACGATTGGGCCATGAGAGAGATGACGATATGATCTCGGTACTAGTCAGTGGCCACTGCTCGCGCGATGCCATCGCCGTTGCTGCAACAAGAGACCATGTTCGACGAGGATAGGGAGCGCTGTTTGGACATCAAGGACTACTATTAGCACCTTCCAAGGCACATGTTCATCAACTCACCTAAACAGAGTGTGAATGCCAGGCTGCCAGCGCAGCACCCAGAGAGTGCGGACGCGGCGCGCGGGCAGGTGAGCGGGAAGCGCCCGCGCGTCCAGACGACTGCAGGCCTGGTGCTGAACGCGCGATTTTTCTGAGTCCCTCACATCCAGCTTCCTTTTTGAGCGGTCCTGGACTCCTGCCAAACGGGCGACCAGTTTGACCAGTTTCTCCTTGCCTTTCGAACTCCGCTGTTCCCATCACGCCACATTGATATCTTCCGTGGTATATCCCTTTAAGGGAGACGCCGAACCGCTCTCTCGCTCTCTCTCTCTCCCCGATCGGGAGAAAGGTAAGGAGACGGGTTTGCGAGTCTAGGTGCAGCGCTGTGGGCTGGGGTCTTGATATGATTTCTCGCAGACTACCCTCAGCCTCCGCAGCTATAAAACGCATCGCGACTTGACTGGTGAGCCAACAACATCCATCGACATGGACGTCCTCACCTCAGCCTTCAGCCTCTCCTTCTCGCTCACCAGCCTCCCCGCCTACGCCTCGGTCGCGCTCATCGCGCTCGTCGTGCTCTACGCCCGCTCGCTCGCCGCATGGCAGACGCGCGCGCGGGGCCGCCCTCTCCCCCCCGGCCCGCGCGGACTCCCGCTCGTCGGCAACCTGTTCGACATGCCCCGCGTCCGCCCGTGGGAGGGCCTGCGCGAGCTCAGCGCGAAGTACGGTAAGCCCATATCTACCCCTTCCCGCCCGCCCGATGCTGATTTCCCGCCGCGCCCATGCGCAGGAAACATGATGACGCTCCAGATGCTCACGCAGCGGATGGTCATCCTGGGCAGCGCCGAGGTCATGCTCGAGTACCTCGAGAAGAAGTCGGCGACGTCGTCAGACCGCCTGCAGAGCCCGAGCTTGCTCCTGTGAGTGATCGGTACACACTGGCTAGCCCCCCCACCGCCGCCACGATGTAGGGGACGGCGGGCTGAGGTCCGGTGCTCGGGAGTCCCTGGCATCGGCTGATTCCCAATGGCGCGACACAGAACGGGCAATGGGGACGCGTTCGGGTTCATGCGGTACGGTCCGCGGTGGCGCGCCAACCGGAAGCTCTTCTCGCAGTTCTTCAACCCGACTGGGATCGTCAAGTACCGCGACGCGCAGCGCGCCGTTGCGCACGAGCTGCTGCAGCGGCTCCTCGCCGACCCGTCTACGGAGCACCGCGACAGGCAGGTCGAGTTGTACGTGCTCGCCATGCCCCTTTCGCCCAAGTGCACGGGAAGCTGATGTTTCACGCCGTTGGGCGCGCGACAGCTCCATTTCGAGCATGCTCCTGCGGATTGTGTATGGCATCTACGCCTCCGAGGAGGACCAAGCCATCCTCGCGGTTGACGCCGGGGTGCGCGGCACGCGCGAGGTCATCCTCGCCGGCGGTTTCATCATCGACTACTTCCCGGTCCTGCAGCACCTCCCCTCCTCGTTCGTTCCGGTCCAGCGCAAGTTCGCGAAATGGCGGGGGGCGCTGGAAAGAATGACGACGCTGCCGTTTGCGCAGTTCATGAGCCAGGAGATTAAACCGGAATGCGTCCTCAATGACATGCTCGCTGTCGTGGACAAAGGCGCCAAGGCTGATCTCGAGGCGCAAGGTCTCGCCCGAGACGTCGCTGCGGTGGTCTTCTCTGGTGCGCCTTTGTCTCCTTCCTTTCTCGCGTGTCGCGCGAGCTAATTGTGGTGACTTTGCAGCGGGCGTTGATACCGTGAGCGCACGCTCATCCTCACCCCTGACCGACCGAGTTCTGACTCCCGGGCTCTGCGCAGACTGCATCAACCATGAAGTCTTTCTTCCTCGCGATGGTCCTTTACCCCGAAGTGCAGAAGAAGGCGCAGGCCGAGCTCGACGCCGTCGTCGGTCCCACGCGGCTCCCCGACTTCAGCGACCGTCCCTCCCTGGTGTACATCAACGCCATCATCCGTGAGATGTACCGCTGGATGCCGGTTCCTCCGATCGCTGTACCGCACCTCACGACGGAGGATGAAGAGTTCGGTGGCCACTTCATCCCTAAGGGCACGCTGCTGGTGCCGAACGTCTGGTGAGTGGTCATGCCGTGTCGAGTGATGCGCGTCGGTGTCTAACTGCTGACGAAACAGGGCAGCTCTACACGACCCGGAGGCTTACGAGCGCCCCGATGACTTCGTCCCTGAGCGGTTCATCCGTGGCGGGGAGCTCGACCGGGATATCAGGGACCCGGCCGACTTTCTCTTTGGTTTCGGGCGGAGGCAAGGACCAACGCCTCTCCGCACCCTCTAAAGTCGATACTCACGCTGCCGCAGGATCTGCCCCGGAATGTACTTCGCGGAGGCCGTCTTCTTCATCAACATCGCCATGATCCTGCACACCTTCAACATCACTCCGCCGCTCGACGAAACGGGCCACGAGATCAAGATTATCCCACGGATGGGGGACGGTATCGTTTCGTGCGTGTTCTCTCTTTGGCGGTCGCACTCGAAATCTCATGCTCTGAACAGGATCCCGGAAGATAGCCGCTGTGCGCTCAAGTGCCGTTCAGCCCAGGCGGAGGCGCTCATCATGGCTGAGCTCGTTTGATAAGGGCGAGAGCAACGAGAAAGATTCGGTGTACGCATATGTATGAATACGAGTACATCCTGGATCCGGTCTGTGTATCTGTGTTATGTCCGGGTACCGTATGATACTGTCAATTACTAGTGATGTAACCCGTCTGTACTGTTCCGTCTCAGCGTTGGATCAAAGACAGCAAGATTGACCCACACGTGTGAGACTCCGAGAAATATGACTTCGGGTTCGGGAGGAAGTGCGACTCGCGAAGATCGCTAATTGGAGTACAGGGTCTGCCGATGCAGCGGTATTCATTAGTTGTCACGCTGTTACACCTCTTTACTTTCTCTCCTCCGTTGGGTGCAGACGGAAAGGAAAGGAATACCAAGCCGCAACTGGAAGACCTTCTTGTCTCGTAAGTCAAGGATACTTGAGATACCCGCCTGTCATCGCTCATTGCATTGACAAGCAGACGTCCGAAGACACGGCAAGCCGCATTCTGTATAGGCCGAAGTGTTTATCCCCACAAAAATCCATGGTACAGTTGAACAACCTGGCACAATGGCAGGTATGAGAACCCCTTAATGAGTACACACTGTCTTACGGATCGAATACATGACATTATGGGCACTCTTCTGGCGCCTACAGCTTCTCGTATTCGAGAGCTGCGAGCAAGAACGCCGCCTGACCCTTGAGGTCGTTCGTCCTCACCGTCTGCGCGATGTAGTACTACGATATCCAATCAGCGTCCGTCCCGCACGCAAATCACCCGCACGACTCACCGCGAACGACCCATCTCCGCTGAGACTGCCCACGGAGACCGTGTTGAGCCAGTCCATGGTCCCGTCCCCATTGTCGACGACCCAGTTCGCGACCATGTACTCGAACGCCCTGCTCGCCGCCGCGGTCAGGCTCCCGTCCGCGTCGTCGAGGTACCCGAGCCGGACGCCCTTGAGCAGCGCGTACACGAACATCGCCGCGCCCGAGCTCTCGAAGTAGTTCCCGCTCCTCCCCGCCTGGCTCAGCACGAGCCACCACACGCCGTGGTCCGGGTCCGCGGCGGCGGCGACCGCGGGCGCCAAGGACTTGAGCTGCGTGCGGAAGGTCGCGTCGCTGCGGTGCGCGGGCCAGATCTCGATGATGTCGACGAGGGCCATGAGGTACCAGCCTATGGCGCGGTCCCAGACCTCGGGCGAGTGCCCGCGGTCCGAAGAGGCCCAGGAGGCGGTGTGCGAGTAGTCGTAGCCGTGGTAAAGGAGGTGGGTGGATGCCACGAGGGTGTTCTCGTACATGAGCTTGAACTGGAGCTCGATGTCGTCTGTGAACACAGCGTGAGGGGAGAAAGACGTCAAAAAGACACATGAGGACTGACCGTATGCAGAGGAGTTCGTGGGCTGGAACTCGTTGACGTAAGTGGTGTAGAAAACGTCGCCCATGTAGATTCCATCGAGCCAGCCTGTCATTGAGAGTTAGTGTGTTGTCGTTGCCACGGAGAAAATTTCGATAGTGCCTTGGTTCGGGTAACGCTTTTTGTGCCAGAATTGCCCTTGGGCAGTCCGGGGGTGGCTCATCAGCTGCGTGTGGTAGGTGTCTGCCGCCGTTTTCCACTTCTTATCCCTTGTTTTCTGATACCTGATGAGATGCGTAAGTACGTCATCACGAGAGAAAATTCTGATCAACGCACAAATAGACAAATGTTGGGCCCGTACTGTAAATGGAAAGAGTCAATTCAAGTGTTGTGCATTGTGCAAGGCAGGATCACTCACCGAACAGGGTCTAATGAGTAATCCGAGAAGGAGTAGTCGCTGATGATACTACCGTTGTCATACACAATCACATTGGAGGCGTCTAGAATGTAATCGTAGTACGTCTTGTTCCCGGTCTCCGAGTAGAGTCGCATGAGGCCCCACTGGAGCTCTCCATGCTCGTACGAGACCACGGGCTTGGTCGGGTCGTTGTAGTCGTCATAGCCGTTGCCTTGACCCCGAGTGATGGCCGAGTCTGCTGCCCACACCGCATAGGAAGATGGTTTGGCAAAAGAGGCCCGAAGGTTGCCCAGAAGGAGCAGTGTTGAGACCAGCAGCGAACCGAGAGACAACATGGTGATGTTGCCAGCGGTAGTGAGTCGAGGTCCCGATGAGCCCCTCGCGCTCGCATATATAGAGCCGTGGATGTTGGAGGATATACATCGGGGCAAGGGAGGTGATCCCAGCAAGCATGTGGCTCCGGTAATTGGTTCTACAACGTCAGATGTGATCAAGGTGCAGTCGAAGGTGCAGGTACGCACTGCGCTGTCGCTTCCCTACCCGGGCCGTCCCGGCCCGCCCATCCCGTGTGGATATTCGACTTCGTCTGGATCAAGTCTGGATCATCATGTGCAGATGTGCGGATCATAGGACATGGCGCGAACCCTGGCTGTATAGACTCTTACGTATTTGCCTTACCACAGGATCGTCAGAGCCCTCGCATGTGGACACAGAGGGCAGGCATAGGGCTGGGCATGGCGGCTTCTCATCCCAACTTCACGAGACAATTTGGAAATACTACAAATATGCGTTCATAACCCTTCATCGTTTCTCAGAACACTGGGTACGCTGTTCCCTAGACCTTCGAGACGAGCTCTCCATGCAGGCATGACCACCAGCCGTCTTCATCTGCTCCCCACTTGCGCCAAACCTCTGCAGTCTTCTCCAGGCTCTCCTGAGTGTGAATGCCGTGCTTGAGCGCAGTCGGTGCGAAGTTGGATGACAGGGTGCGCTCCGCCCAAACGGTGCTCCACCAGGCGCGCTCCTGGGGCGTCGCATAGCACCACGCCCCCGCGGTCAGCGTGAGGCTCTCCGCCGGGTACCCCGCCTCCTTGGCCCAGACGTGTAGCTTGCGGCCCGCGGCAGGATCTCCGCCGTTGGCGCGGGCGACGGCATTGTACTTGTTCAGCCAGTCGTCCATGCCATCGAGGAGCGGCCACCAGGCGATGGAGGTGAAGTCGACCTCTCGTGCGGCGACGATGCCGCCGGACCTTGTGACGCGGCGCATCTCGCGTAGAACCTGGACCGGGTCAGCGACGTGCTGGAGGACCTGGTGGCAGTGGACGACGTCAAAGGAAGCGTCGGGGAAGGGCAGGTGGTTGGCGTCGGCCTGCTGGAAGGCTATGTTGGTGACGCCACGCTCGACGGCGTACGCCTTCGCGTTGTCAACCACATCGTGGGAGTAGTCGACGCCGGTTACGTGGCCTTCGGGGACGTAGTTTGCAGCGAGATCGGCGGTGATGGTGCCCGGCCACAACCAATGTCGAGGATGGCGAGGTTGGGCTTGAGGTATGGGATGAGGAAGGCGGCAGAGTTCTTCACAGTACGCCAGGTGTGAGAGCTCAAGACGGAGGAGTGGTGTCCGTGAGTGTAGACGGCTTTTTCTGCCATATCGTTGGACGATTTCTAGTCATTAGGGGTAAGGATGAGCGATGAGCATGTAAATGTGCGATGGTCGCGATATCATTGACTCACAGAGGGATCTGAGGCACTGGGAACAGAGGACGGTTGGAAGATCGCGGTTGGCAACCTGGTCCTGTATCAACCTGCGAGCTTCTTGATATAGTTGTCTGCTCAAGCTACGATCGAGTCATGCAGCCACAGAGGGAGCTTCTAATTTCGAATGCATGCCGGTTTCGGCTCATGGCCCGAAGGCCTCAATGAGTGACGAAGAAGGACAGAGGAGCATTCCGAGACGGTTCGAGGCTCGCCTTCGTGCACTGGGTGATAGACAGACTCTTCAACTTCGGGGAGGACTCAAGGGGGGCCTGCATGATATCATGATCTGGCAAGGCGCCCATTAGATCTAATTCTGTTCCGCGCAGTGTGACTCCGACGTCACTCCACTCGTCACGCGCCCGCTTTGGCAGGCGCTAATGCGGGCGAGCAGCCAGGCGGTGGCGTCCGTCTCGCCTCTTCCTGCACGCTCCTGAGTACGAGTCCTCGCCCCCTCCTCTCCAACGTCGCCAACTGCTCAGCGGGGACGGTAACAGCACCCCCTCCTCCGTGCTTTGTCGCAAGTGACACATCCTTGTCCAGTCCACCCATTCTCAGTGCCTTACGCGTTTCATATCACTCCGCCAGTCCCGCCTGTCACCTCTTCCCATCCGCCCTCACCCCCTTCACCTCGCCTCGCATCCGACACTACGCGCCATGCCCCCGAATCCATTGTCCCTCAAGCAGCGGCTTGCGGCGCTCTCGGCAAATCTCAACTCGCCGTCGCGCTCTGCATTTGACGCACCCCCCGACTCCCCCCTGACGGCGAAGCGCAAGTCCTTCTTCAAGCAGCCGTTCCGCAAGAACTCTACCTCCGATAACGGACCTCCAGAACTCTACGGGCACGAACGCATTCAGGAGGTTATGAGCAGGCTGATCTTCCAGGCAGGAGTGGACTATGAGTGCGCAATCCCCTTCTACCCACCTCGCTCATGCGACTCATTGCTTGTCTTTATCATACAGGACACGTCCAATGTGCGTTATGCGCGGTGGAAATTTTGCAAAGTATATTGAATCCACACCCGCAGGATTGTGATGTGCGCGGCTGCAATGCCTGACCCACAGGACGTCTCCTATGACTTGCTCTTGAGGTTAGTGTTCAGTATATGGCGTAGCACATAATCTCACCTCAACCCAGCCGCATCTTGTCATATTTGGATCTTTATGGTGAGTATGACCTCTTTTGCACTGTTCCCTCCCCGCGAAGTCTCTCCGGTTCCCTAGCCCCTGTGCTCGACTATGCTTCCATCTTTTACGCAATTCAGAATCATCCGGTGTGATGCGTCTATGTTCGTTTCAGCTGACTCTCCGCTCATAGTTGAGTCGGACTACACGGTCGTATTTCTGGCTGCCGGCAACCGACATACACCGGGTTGGAATTGGGTCTGGAAAGCATACCGGAGTTTGAGTCGCAAGTATCGCAAAAACCTCAAACGCCTGGTGAGTATATGCCCCATGGTCCAACTCTCCGTCGTAACTTACGATTCGTAGTATGTTGTTCATTCAAATTTCTTCACGAAGAGTGCGTTGAGTTCCTTGACTGCTTTTGTCCATTCTGACCTCCTCCCAGTGTTGTTCTCCCTGGCCGGAGCAATCATCAGGTGAGTTAATAGTAGTCTCGTTCTCGGGCTTGACTCATCCCGTTTAGCCCCAAGTTTTTCCGCAAGATAACTTATATCAATACCCTTTCGGAGTTGGCATACCACGTCCCCTTACGCAAATAGATATACCCCCAGCAGTGTACCAGTGAGTCACTTTTTCAAGTTCACTGGCCTTTCCCACCCACCCTCGGTAAACCAATGATCCGGGTAGAGAGAATCTCAAGCATGAGAAGCAAATCCAACTTCCGGTCATGACGCGATCAGACCTTTTCGGCGTCCCGCTTGAAGAACTCATGGGATTCGACGGAGAGAAGGGCGGGCTGCCACGGGTTGTCCGTGACTGTATACAATATCTCCGCGCTACAGGTGCGCCTTGGTTTATGTCCTTGCAAGCTCCATCGCAATCACAAGCACCTATAGGCTTGCAGGATGAGGGCCTGTTCCGTCGGTCACCCAATTCGGTGTTGCTAAAACAGGCAGCTCAGGCGTACGATCGCGGTGAGTCCATCTGATTACACGGCATACCCTCTCCTCTCACACTCTTCAGGTCACGTCGTGTCTCTAGACACCTTCGGGGACCCTCATCTGGCCGCGGTACTCTGAAAAAGTATCTCCATGACCTCCCTGAGCCCATTTTCCCGGAGGCGCTCTACCCCCTCATCCGAAGATGCCCTATGCCGACGAAGACCTCAACGACATGGCCGCTATCATGTACATTAGGGAAATTCTCCTTCCTGAGCTTCCACCATGCGTTTACATCCTCTTGAACAGCATCCTCCGTACGTTCCTTGATTCGTCGCACCGTACTGGTGCTGAGTCCTTACTTCCTAGATCTTCTATATGATGTGCAGAGACATTCCGCAGCGAATCGCATGGATGCTCACAATCTCACCGTCGTGATCTGCCCCAACCTCGTCTCAAGCTCAAACCCCATGCGCGATGTCATGATGTGCTCTGTTCCCAATGCGCCCACCCTCTTCGACTCGACACGCGCTGCATCCAGCACGAACCTTCCCTCCCAGCTCCAGTCGCAGTCCCAGGGCACCCCATCTCAGCAGCCTCCACGCTCACCCTCACAACACCATGCATCACTTTCAGCCCCGCCGCCACCGCCTGCTCCAGAGGGTAAGACGACACTTGGGATGGTGATCAAGCTCTGTATTCAACGCTATTACGAGGTCTTCGACGACGTCCCCGACCGCTCCGAAGCGCTCGCGCCCGACCACGCGCAGGACATTCTGCACCACCCCGACCCCGCGTTCGCGGCGCTGGGCTCTCCGGGGAGCCCGTCGCTCAACAACCGCGACAGCGCGCTGCTCGACGACGACGACATCGACGACGCGATGCTCGTCATGCCCCTCGGTCCCGGGAGCGCGAACCCGAGCCGCTTCTCCAGCGCCGGTGGCCACAGCACCTTCCGCCCGCACCACCGCACCGGCGGTTCGCGCGACGTCACCGCGCGCTCCGTCGGCGGTGGCGGGCCCCCGAGCGCGTACGCCACCGTGAACGCGAACCGGACGCGGTCGACGATCAGCATCGAGCGCGGCCACGCCGGCGGCGGCGCGGGCGGGCGCAAGGGCTCCATCGCGCTCGGGCGCGGCACGCAACGTGGGACGGGCAAGGGCGCGGGCGCGGGCGTCACCGCGGTGAGCATCACCGCGGAGGGCTTCTTCAGTGCGCCCGACGCGCCGCCCGTCCCCGCCCTCCCGGCGCAGGACGCGAACGGGGACGCGCAGTGAGTCTGCGGGCTCTGCTTGGGTGTGGGTGGAGCGTCGTGGGGGACCCGCTCTCTGCACGCAGCACTGCGCGGGACCTGTCGCGACGGGGGCGTTCCTCTGTGGTCGGACGCTTCGGTTCATTCCCAGCCGGTTGGTTTTGCTGTATTATCTTATGTTATGTTTCCTGGTCGCTCTGGTGCTTCCGCCCTCACGCACACTCGTTTGTCGGTACCGTAGCCCACGATCGTCGCCTGGTGTGCTCTCGTTAATGAAAGATAGACACGCTGACATCCACGCCCTCTCGGTCTGCAACCGATCGCTCAGTCGGTTCCTCGGTCCACTGCACCGCTGATATGAGGCGAATGAAAACGTCGTGACGAGCGGGGCACAGGGCACGGAACTGGGGCCCCGCAAACCCGTCCTTTGTATTGTGCGGTGGGTTTGAACCCTCTGGACCTTCTCAGACCAGAAGTCGCAGCATGCCCCCGGTGGTCGCGGAAGGAAGGAAGGGCAGACGAGCGCGGCAGGGTCTGAGGGCATTGAACGCGCCAATGGCTGCGGTTCGAGCTCACGGTACCTGCGGATGAGCAGTACCTCGTGGGTGTGGGCCGACCTCCCTAGGGTCGGGCTGAATTGCATGCGAACACCGTCGGATGTTCGGATGCCCGTTGCATGGGTTGCATACGTTGATTGGTGCTATGTGGTTTGCGTCTTGGCGGGACGCTTCAGAAGAGGGCCAGTTGGTCACATGCAGATGAGAGTGAAGATATAGTGGACTTTGTGTGTCCATTGGGGGGAAGAGCAACTCATTCTTTCCAGATTTCGCGACCGCTGCGTGCGTACGTGGATGGTATGATACACTCAAACTCAATGTCCGTCAGCTGTTCCTCCGCCAAGAATGAGCGCAGACGCTTGGGCGGATCGCGGCGTGAAGGTGCACCGACAGTCCTCGGGGTACCTGCGGAGAGAATCAGAGCAGGCCGCGGCAAGCAGAAGAGCATAATGACGTACGAGAGGAACCCGTCAGACTGCGACGGCACAACCTTGATGGGGTTCCCAGCACTGTCTACAGGCGGGCCGATGTTGAAGACGTGCAGCACCGAGACGACGTTGAGAAAGAGTCCGGCGTCGGCGAAGTGTCTGCCGGGACAGATCCTGAAGCAGAAGACGCGAGGGGCGTAAGTCCCATGCAGATGATCATGGCGCGCACGGCCCACCTCCTGCCAAACCCGAATGCGTAATTCATCGGGTCGCGCACGTCCGGGTCCAGCTTGCCGTCGCGGATGAAGCGTTCCGGGCGGAACTCGTCCGGGTCGGGGTAGACGATGGGGTCGTGCATGCACGACCTAGGAAGTTCACAGCGCGTCAATTAGTTGCATATGCTTGTGTGACGGCGTTCGACCTCACCACACGTTCGCCACGAGTACCGTCCCTGCCGGGACAAAGTATCCACAGAACTCGTCGTCTACATTCGTTCTGTGAGCGATACTGAGGGGGGTGATGTTGTGCCAGCGGAGCGACTCCTTGATGAGTGCGTTAACGTATACCAGTTTGTCTCGATCTTCGAATGTTGGCAGACGGTGCGGGCCAACGACGGCGTCCAGTTCTGCTTGAGCGCGATTTTGCACTTCCGGGAAGAGGGACATCGCGAGGAACGCGGCGTAAACGCTTCCAATCGTCTTTTCAACGTGTTCAGTGGGAAAAATGGCAGCTATTAGATTTATCTTACCGTGTCCGCACCACCTATATGGTGCCGGGCTAATCAGCGACATTCGAGGGGTCCTCGTATCACTGTACCATACCTTCAAATGCAACCCCGAGGACTTTCTGAACGAGCGCCTCCTGTTCTTGACTGAGCTTCGCGTCCCCATCTTCAGCTTGTATTCGTGCACTTAACGAATCCAAAATGCTGGCTTGATCGTATGGGACGACGTCCTCGGTCTACTCGTACTCATCAGTCTCGTGACGAGGGACACAAAGGCGTAAGACTCACAAACGCTTCGTTACGTTGCTCGTAAGGCATACGAAGTAACATCGAGGTCGCCTCCTTCCACTTGGCAAACAGCTTTTGAAAGCCGGCTCCGGGGATCCAGGATGGAAGATATTCCAGCGCGGGAAACGTGTCGACGAGGTACCTTCCGGGGATGAATGTTTGAGCAGTCCCTTCAAGCGCATCGTCGATTACACGGATGAGCGGATGGTCGGGGTCGTCGATATCAATCCCGTATCCAACTTTCAGGATCGTGGCCGAGAACGAGCTGCGGTGAAGATGCGCATTAGACATGCTGGAAAGACTCCGGATTTGGAAGCAATATGGCTTACAAGCGAGTGAGTTGTTTGAAATCTGAGGGGTCTCTCAGTAGCTTCACCAAGAACTTGCGTGTGACAGCTAACTGCACCGGACGGTAGGCGGAAACCGCGTTAGGGTGAAAATATTGCCAGAACGCCCGCCTGTACTTCCTCCACATGTCACCATATGGCAGCAATCCAACAAGCCAGTCAACTCCAATTCTATGCCAGAGGATGAGACAGAACGAAACAACGATAGACGGTTCGGGCTCACAGACGGATGACAGGTGTGACAGTCGATCGGAGGTGTTGTTGGTTCGCTTCTCCAGGAACTCTGTGATTGCTTCTGCGGAGTCGAGGACGATCATATGTTGACCGAACACCTGCAAGTGTACAACATCACCTGAGCGGCGTCAGCGTTCGATCCGCATGGAGGACTGGACCGCATATAAGCACCGTATCGAGCGCATAGCTCCCGGAACCCAACCCAAGGCTTCTTCGTCGGCATGTCGAGCATGTTTCCAATTATCGGCAAAGGGTTCGGGGAGGGCGGAAGAGGACGACCTTTGGTACGCGTCCGCCAGGCGGCGCGAATGCGGACTCGGAGGACAAGGAGGGCGAATGACAGTAGGCTGCCCGCAACGGCGAGTGGGGCTGAAAGAGGTTGGAGTAGCCCTGCATCGTTGCCGACTCGCTGGCACGCTGATCCCGCTGTTGTATTATACCGCGCTCGCAAGACGCGCGCCGACTTTGGAAGATGACGACATGCATGGATGCATTGCGCTTGGGTGCGCTTTCGAAAGCTCCGGGAGGTCGGCACGAGAAGGTTTGTTGACTTGAGGGAATTCGATAACTTTGTGCGCCCCGACATACCCGGAAGATAACCATGCGCAGGCCCGATTATGGCACTGGGGACTCTGTCACGGTTCGGGGAAACTTGTCGGTCCGGGTCATGGGATGATAACTTCAAGTACGCACCCGTAACATTGGTCATATCCCGTCAGGGCCTCGGGACCGTCGGTCCACATGTGTATTGAGCCATATGGACCACACCATGGATCATGCGAGAGGTTGGTGTTTGTGGGGCCTCTCCTTTGAGCCAACTAGTAGATGCGTTGTGATTTTCTGTGTCGGCTGAATCAGAGTACATGGTGGAAGGTGATGAGAGAGAGTCAGCCGGGTAGAAAAACAAGCAAGTACCTCGCTCGACGCAATGCAAACGCCAGCGCAAGCGGGCGCTTCCGTACGACTATACCATGACGTCATTTCTTCAGGGCAGGCCGTGTCTCATTAAGGTCCGTCGCGTTCTCATATTGAACTGGTTTACAGCCGGACTCTTCAAAGGCCCTAATGAAATCAAACCGCGACCTGAATGTACTGTGCATACGAAGCCACCGAGGCTGCCACGGTTTCCAAATTCTACCCAACCGGGGGATTGATGAGAGAAACAGTATTCATATCATCAGCAAAGTAGGTGCAGAAACGATAGCGTATGATCGTGCACTAGGGCATTTGTAGCGTACGGTAGTTAGTGCTAGCGAAGACAATAGAAGGTAGATTAGTATCCAAAGAATGCAGTATCCCGTATTGTACGGCCGTCTGCTTCTTCCGCTATCAACTGATGATCGATTCTCGCGGGCAGGGCTATCAGGTCTGAGTGCGCGCGCGACCGTATATCGGTCATCTGTGGCGCATGAGATGATAGCGCTACACGATAAGAGGTCAGAGTTAGCGGAGGAGATGACAGAGAACCTACAGCACCCTGCGGAAGATTATCGTCTTCCGTCGTACACTGGGGCTCGCATCTAATCACACATATATGGTTCAATCGCGCAATAATCCATTTGGGGTAAATATGAAACAGCGGGTATTCTACACAACGCACACATTAGCAGAACAAAGAACTTACGTAGTCGGTGAATCGTGATGTAGCCGAGTACTTGAAGCCTCTCAACCAGCACATCTCCCCGAATTGAAGGAAGTGTTCCCTATCGTGAGTACTATCGAAGTGGTCAGTAACGGCCTGTAGAGAATTCGCATCTAGAGATTGCTTACCTGATAGAGGAATCAGTGTGGAGAGCGCAGAAAGGTGGGTTGAGTGCGGCGGGATAGACAGGTCGGGCACCATGGGCGCGAAAGGGTTAATTGGTTGGGGGCAGGGAGGTGGTCGCCTTGAGCGTAGATGCTCGCGTCTTCATTGTCTTCGCTCCCTCACTCCTCACCATGCTCTTCCTGCGGCTGCGTCGCAAACGGGGGAGGGGAAGGGGGTGTGAGGCTGAAGGAGAGGTCAGCGGGAGCGGCGACGGGGAACGCGGAGGAAGAGAGACGCATCCACTGGGTGAACTGGAACGCCTTCACGAGCCGGATCGTCTCCTCGACCGAGCGGTTGATTGGGAGGTTATTGATCGTGATTGCTTGTCCAGCCCCACCGAACGCACGATCAGCCGTCGAACGTATGTTGCTCCAACTTTACGGACGCACCTGAGGATACCTTCATAGAGTCGATGAGAAAGAGCCCGCGGAGGGCGATCATGCCCTCGTCCTCGATGAAGACGCCGTAGTCGTGAGAGATTGACATCATGTCGGGGCGCGCGATGAGCAGGAGGTCCGGGCCAAGACTACCCAGCTTGCGAGTACAGCGAGTTGATCGAGGGCACGCGAATTGGTGATAGGTCAGTGGTTACCGACGGAAGCAACGTTGAGTCGGTGACACTGTCGGCAAGGCTGAGGAATCAGTTTGAAGAGGAGAAGAGGCGGAAGGGGATATGTTAACCAAAGTTCACACCTCGTATGGACGGTGGCTCATCACATGTGACCGACCCGCCGCTATAAGCGCCATAACTTGAAGCCTCGCGTTCAGGAGGTGCACCGAGCTCACCCCGTTGCGAACCACACGTCGTGACTCGTGTCGAGTCCGCAGATGCGGAAATGTAGAGAGAGGGGGGTCGTGTTGGCTTCGTGGAGGTGGAACCTAGGGCGCAGAGTGGCGGCCGTGAGGGCGACGACGTCTGCCACGAGAGGGTGTTGAAAGCCATGTCGATGTCGATAGAAGTGTGAGTACGGTGAACCAGATGCTGGGAGCAGAGAATGATGAGGAACTCACCACGTCTTGATACATGGTCGTGCGCGAGCGTGAGTGGCACATCGCACTTGGGGGATGATGACGGTCGCGGGTTGAGTCCAGTAATAGGCGCGCATGCCCGCACATGCGCCCATGTCTCGGAACAACCGAGAGGAGGTCAAAGCGGGACGCCACTGTGACGCCGCCGCATCGGGTCACAACAATTAGCAAGAAATCACCGTAAGCAACTTCCTTTGGACTTCATAATGTCGCTACCAACACGGACCTCCATATCAGTAAGTCTCCACAGCGATATATATCTTGACTTAACTCTCTACCTACTCACTGCCCTCGCCCAGTGCCCAGTGCGGGCGTTTGCCGCGCTGCTCGCGACGACGATGGCGTTGAACAGAGCGCTTCGCTGATCCCCGTAGTGGTGGTCCGCGGAGTAGGCAGGCTTGCTCCTGCCATCGCCCGCAGGCCTCCAGCATGGCCCGACGATCCACATGGTCACCATTTCGGCCTTGAGCGCAGTGGAGGTGCCGTCAACCCGCGCAGGGTTGAAGTCATCGACGACAAGAATTGCAATGCGGCGTGGTTTGATCGTTGGCTCGCGGAGGGCGAAGGCGGCGAGCTGGGAGAGCTTCGCGGAAAGAGGGTTCGGCGTCGGGCCACGCGGGTTTAGAGGAGAGTCGAGACGGGCTCGCCGACGTTCTGGACGACCTGCTTGGCGAGCTCGAAATCGACATTGTTGAGCAGCTTCAATTACGTGTTGTATGCCTACAGGTTGCCAGTGGGAGAGCTTGAAGAGGCCTGACTTGGCGGAGAGAATGGAATTTGACAAAGAGTGCATTGAATAGCATGTCTGGCAGCTGGCACCAGGGACGTAGAAACACAGAGAGGATAGACGTACAGGTGTTCACCCCGCACATCATTCGATAAGAGCGCGGGATTCTACGGTTGGACATGGCCCACATAACCATGCGTGCGAATGAAAAGCGGCATGCCCTGAGCGAGCGTCGCGGTGACGGCGAGGTGCGACCTCGCTATAGCTCGCGGTACGTACAGAAGCGGATAAAAGCGTCAACGTACCACGCTCCCCCCAGGAACCCTGGACGGTGCTGAAGCGCACATGGCTACAACGGGCGCATGCGTATACTTGGCCGGCCTATCGGGGCACCTAGGGCAAGCGAGATAGCCCGACACGGTATGATTTAGACGTCCACCATGAGAGGGGGTGACCAGCGCACCTTGGAATACCCATACGCACTGGCCTCACGAGCACGGACCACGCGCTGGGCGTAGGACGAGCCAGGTTGCGATGCCCAAACGACCCCGCCGTGCGATACCACATTTCTCCTGTACATTTCACGAGCTCGCGCTCGCATGTGAGCGTCGTGCGAAAGGTCGAGGTCCTCCAGGTGAGTGTCATGGTTTTGCTCCCGCGCATATTCTGCCACCGCGAGAGTGAGGACTTCGTTATATGTGCAATGAACTATTTGCTCCCGCCTCGCTGTCTGGGGACTGGGTCGCTTCAAGGAACGCAAGGGAGAGATGAAATGCGCACCTAATGGAAAACAATGCTCAAATGAGCAAGGACACGAGTCGATGTTCCGCGTTTGGATCGCGTGTCCCACTTTAGAAGCAGACATTCTGATGAAGAAGAGGATTTTCATAGCACGACGAGGTGCCGCAGAGAAGCGAAAAAGAAGAAGCGTCAAGAACAAACTGGGGGAACAGAGGAGGATGGGAGGAGGCAAGGTGGGACTCGCCGTCGCCGCCGTCGGTCCGCGGCCCGTAAGCGATTGAACAGGCGCCCGCGCCGTCGTCCATCCATCCTCGCGCGCACCGCGTTCTCTGCCGTGCACACTGTTCGCGTCTTTGCAAATCGAATGTATAGCTCAATACGAACCTCTTATGCACCCCACGCGCCCCATGATTCACCCTTGAAGGAGCCCATGATCATCGACGATCATCGACTACAGCTTTCTGTTTAAGCTACTAGTGCCGGTAGTAAATACATCATATCCTGTATGCGGCCACAAAATGCGATCAAATGTCATAGCAAAGACGAATTAATGTCAGCTGCTACCGTTCTGCTACCATCATTTATCGCGCAGACAATAGATGACCTGTCCCGATATGGCGGTGTCGCGTGTTATCGGGCGCTACCATGGAAAACACCTTTTGCTGATGCATGGCTCAGCTAGCCCACCATATGATGCATCATACGTACCCCGCCCACCACCACCGCCGGCAATCTTGGAGTGAACGCATCACTTGGTCAGTATCTCTTTTATCTTGACTGCATGGTTTCTGAAGTGACTAGCCCCCGTACATCGCAGTGACGATTCCAGGCGGCCGGCATCAGCAAAATGGGCGCGGAAACGGTAGCGTCTGATAGTGGACGGGCATTCGTAGCGTACGATAGTTAGTGATAGCGAAGACAATAGACAGTAGCTGAGCATCCAAGTACTGCAGTAACTCATAGTGTATTATCGTCTGCTTCTTCCACTATCAAATGATGATCGTACCTCGCGGACAGTGCTATCATTTCTGGGTGCGCGTGCGACCATATATCGGTCATCTGCGGCGCATGAAATGATAGCACCTCACGATAAAGTGTCAGATTTAGCGGAGGAGATGACAGATAACTGCGGAACACTATCGCCTTCCGTCGCACACTGGGGCGCACGTATAATTCCAATCGCACAATAATCCATTCGGGGTAAATACGAAACAGCCGGTATTCTACGCAACGGAAACATGAGCAGAACAAAGAACTTACATGGTCGGCGATGTGGCCGAGCTTGAAGCCTCTCGTCCAGCACGTCTCCCCGAATTGACGGAGTGTTCCCTATTGTGAGTACTATCGGAGTGGTCAGTAATGTAGAAAACTCGTATCTGGGGATTGCTTACCTGATAGAGAAATCAATGTGGAGAGCGCGGAAAGGTCGGTTGAGCGCGGCAAGATAGACAGATCGGGCATGGAGGGGCGCCATGGGCGCGAAAGGGTGAATTGGTTGGGCGTGGAGAGGTGGATGGTTGCGTCGGGGAAGGGGGAGGGAGGCGGGAGAAGTCAGCGGGAACGGCCACAGGGAGCGCGGAGGAAAAGAGACGCACCCGGGAGAACTGGAATGCCTTCACGAGCCGGATCGTCCCCTCGACAGAGCAGCCCACGGGGAGGTCGTTGATCGTAATTTACTTTCCAGCTCCACCGAACGCACAATCAGTCGTGATTCCCGGACGTATGCCGCTCCATCAAGGACGTACCTGAGGGTACCCTATAGGGTCGATAATGAGGAGCCCACAGAGGGCGATCCCCTCGTCCTCGATGAGGACACCGTAGTCGTGGGAGACAGACATGTGGGCCGACTCGAGACCGCTGCTTGCGCGGGGCAATCGCCCAGGTGAAGTGCGAGTACTGTGACTCGTCGGTCGAGGCCGCTGTGGACTTGGTGGAATGAGCGGCTGTAGAACTGATCTCGGTAGAGAAGGAAGAGGAACACAAACCAGTGAGCTGCTGCCTCTGCAGAACGGGTGGCTGCTCGGGGCGGACGCGTCGCGCGCGTTCAGCAACGCCTACCGGAAGCGGTCGCGCGCAGATCTAGCAGCAGGAGCCAGGATGCGCGGGTTCGACCATGCGGTACACCGTGATATCCTGCTCGCCTGCCGCGCTCGGACGTTCTGAAGACATACCTGTACACCGTGCTCTCACGGAGCCGGTGGCTGCCGCACCACCTCCACATCGCCTTGAATCCCCAGTGGCAAGCAAATGGTCAGTGTTGGGTCGCTGGCTCGCATGGGAGCGCGCGGCGCCGCGTCGAAACTGTCGGCGAGGCTGAGGAATCAGGCCTCACATGTGACCGACCCGTGTCCATAAGCAACGTAAGTACTCAAGCGTACCTTTGTACCCGCAGTCTTGAGGGCGCAGGTTTTCGCCGGTGTGAGTGCGGTGTTAAAAGCCATGTCGATGTCGACAGAAGTGTGTATGTGAGCGAGCCTATGCTGATGATGAGGAAGAACTGACCGTGTCTTGATACATCGCGCGCGAGTGTGAGTGGCACATTGCGCTTGGGGGATGATGGTGGTCGCAGATAAAGCCCAGTAGGCGCGCAACCCAGCACACGCGCCCGTGTCTGGAAACAATAGAGAGGCCAAAGCGGGACGCCACTGCGGCGCCGCCGCATCGGGTCACAACAATTAGCAAAGAAATCACTGCAAGCAACTTTTAGACTTCAGAATGTCGCTACTAACACGGACCTCTGTACGTCTCGGGCCCCAGCGATGTATATATCTTGACTTAACTCTCGACCCCTCGCCCAGTGCCCTGTGCGAGAGTTTGCCGCGCAGCTCGTGACAATGAGAGCATCAAACAGAGCGCTCCGCTGACTCTCGTAGTGGTGGTCCGCGGAGTAGGCCTTGCTCCAGTTCACGAGCTCGCGCTCGCATGTAAATAGAGCAACGAAAGGGATAAAAGGCGTCAAGAAAGATTAAGGGAACAGAGGATGGGGCTCGCCATCGATGCCGGACAGAGGACTCGCGCGCGGCGCGTAAGCGGAACAGGCGCCCGCGCTGACGTCCGTCCGCATATCGTCGCGCGCATCGCGTTCTCTGCCGCGCGCAGTGTTCGCGTCCTCACGAGCCGACCGTATAGCTAAATACGAACCTCTTATGCACCCCGCGCGCCCCGTGATTCACCCTTGAAGGAGCGCATGATCGTTTACTATCATCGACTACAGCCTTCTGTTCAAGCTACTTGTGCCTGTAGTATATCCATCATATCCTGTCTGCGGCCACAATATTTGATCGAACCTCATAGTAAAGACGAATGAATACCAGCTGCTACCGTTCTGCTACCATCACTTGTTGCGCAGACAATAGACGACCTGTCCCGATATGGCAGTGTCGCGTGCTATCGGGCGCTACCGTCAAAAACACCTTTTGCTGATGCACATCATGGGTTCACTGCTTCCTATGGTTTGCCTGAGGTCTGTGTATATGGTCACCCAGCTGCGGCCCGATGGTCGCGGGCAATTATCCTGTGAGCAAATTCTTCACGCACGACCAATT